AAAGTAATTATTTGCCAAGGTTTAGAGTGTCCAATGGGAGAACTCTCCCCATTAAAATCAATTTTCAAAATTTTTTATTTGATCATTTACTTAACATTATGAATTTAATTTTAGCAAGAAAAGAAAAATTAAGTAAATTTTTAAACAAACTTTGGGTCTTTTATGATTTTATTAAAGTCTCTGAGTCTAATTACAGGCTTCTATTATAATTTTTAGATTAATTAACTAGGAAACTGTTATTTTAAAAACTCCGCAACTAATATTAGTTTGATAAAAAAATGATTAAGAGTTATAAATTTTATGCATCATAAATAATTTAAATAATATTAACAATCAATAGTTGTAGACTTTAATAAACATGTATTATGTTTATTAAAAATATATTATTCTTATATTTCCCCTTTGTGTATGTATTTATCCTTTTCGATTTTAACTATACTTATCTTGAAAGCGTTTCTTGAAACCTCTACATCTACCCATATTCAGGTAAATAGGTCTGTTCAAAATAGGTTACGAGACTCCTACCTGAGACATAAACGCGGAATAAACATTTTAGATCGTGTTTACGACTACAACAAAAATTATCCCGCGGACCCTAATAATTATGAGGAACATGCTCTCATAAATGATATAGAATTTCCTAACGATCTCTTGGACACGGATATGATGGTTAATGAATATCAGGATCATGACAACTTAGCTAAATATCGGAATAACGCCAATACTAGGTTCCGTGATTCTCAAGACGCTTTAAAAAATGCTCATAGGCCAAATATAAATTCTCTCGAAATTATGCCAGACAATACCGAGTTCGAAAAAGATTTCGTAAAGAATTATTCAAGCAAACATGGATATTCTGATAGAAAGGGAAATGATGTGGCTATGATTAAATATAACGTGAATAGCTTATTCGACGATATTACCGGCATCGATATGTCTGAATCGGTATTAGAACCGGATTTGTCGGGAATTGATTTTTCTTTCGATAAAGAAGAGGAAAGATTAAATAAACTTTCCGATTATTATGATATGGGTAGAGCTCATTTTAAAATGATAAATAACCATTTAGTGGCCAAGGTTCACACCAAAGCAACTGGTAATACTTGGAATGTCTATACTCCCATCAGTAAATTTACAACTATTAATTCTGTATCATTATCAGACTCACAAAATGATTTGTACCGTATTCGTATATCGAGCGGCGGAAATGCAACTAAGAACGCATATATCCCTCAAAATACCATGATTGTTGATCATTTTAATGTCAGTAAGCAATATGGTTCTAAACATAATGGTTCGTATATTCGGGATTCGCAGAGAAATTTATCAGGTATACTCAAACAATCTAGGCTAGAACCTAACAAAATCAGTTTGCCAGATGACACTAATTATTCCTATCCAGCCATTATGTATAATTCGATAAAGATCCATAATATAAATAATAACGAAAGCGGTGATAAAGTTGGAAAGCTAGAATATTTTCCTTTTAAAGAAAAAAGTATAGGGCTTGTACAAAAGAATGGATTATTTATTACCTTAAGCTATCAGAATATTACGAAAATTGAAGGGCATTCAAATATAAACACGTCACCGCTGCATAAAAAACACCGCAAACATCACTCTTTCAAGAAAAAACAAAGATTTTTGATTAAGAACTTGGATAAAAATAATTTTAGAAAAATGGCTCTGAAAGATAATCAAGGAATAGAAAACTTTACCACATTCTCGTTAACATCTGATATGCCCCAGCATAACATTAATAATTTAACCATGAAACCTATGCAGTCAATGCTCATTGCTAAAACTAATAATGTAAAATACGATATGATTATTGATGAAACTTATAAGCAAATACCACAATCATTTACAAAATATGATATTTCTCCTAAGAAAATTTACAACACTATTATTAATGTTAACAGAGTTTATCATCCGACATCCAATATTGCCAGAACTTATAAGCAAATGCCAAAATATTTCTCCAAATATGATATTTTGACTAAGAAAATTTACTACAACACTATTATTAACGTAGCAAGAATATATTATACAACACCTAAGGTTGTTTTTAAATATTTTCAAAATTCTAATCATCATGACGACATTGTTAATTTAATTTAACCTAATTTCATTTTCATTCCATTTATATCTGAGGTGGGTATTATTGCTTTATTCAACTAAATAATATTATTAAATATGTAGTTAGAATATATATTTTTTTAAATAGAAATTTAATCAAATTTAAAGATATTGACTAGTTTTTTTTTTGGTAAATATAGTTTTTTGAATTATTTAGTTACATTTTAATCTCTAAAATGATTTACGGCGTAATCATGAAAACACAAAATTATCTTGGGGAAGAGAGATTGAGATAATCATGTATAGTATACATTATGATGTAAGGTAACCTCAATGCAAATAATGACATTATTAACGACTAAATTAATAATTGCAAAGTGTGAGCGAGCTTTAGAAATGCATTCGTATTAAATTATACTATTATTTTTTATACTATTATTTTTTATACATTCTGTAGACTCCTTTCAAATTTTATTTAATTTATTAAATTAATAAGGGCTAGCACGTGTTCCTACTACATGTATTGTAGTTACAAGAGCTAATAAAAAGTTGCTGTTAGAGTTTCCGATTCGGACATTCTTACCTCTTAATATATCTCTTCCTTGATGTACTGTCAATTATACGAATAATATTTTAAATTTTATCGATGATTATACATTCTGCACAAGATCAGTGTTAAATATGTCCAATGCAGGTTCTTAAAAAAAAGGATCTAATTAAAATAGAAAATGTACTTATATGCAGAACAAGTATTTTATAAAAAAATATCAAAATGATACAATATATAAGATACTTATATATTTGGCTAAATAAGATTATCTTAGATACAAGATACTTTTATGAAATATTTATCTATTCCCTCTGTACAATAATCCATAAAGCTGTTTAGGAGGTGAAGATAAAGTGGTTCTAAAAAAAATAATATCATAGCTTTAAATGACTTGTGTATGACCCAACAATAAGAGTGTATATGGAAAGATATATAAACCAACCAAGAGAAATACATAGAGAAATAGCATATAATTATTAATTATTACAACAGGTTAGGTATATTTCTTTAGAGGAACTATCCCCCCAAAAAGTCAACTTGTTTAGAAATTATGCAAAATATTAGCAAGCACATTATATTTCAACAATTATAATAAAATATTCTTATACTCTTTATGTTATTATGGTCAAAAATCAAAAGTGTATTATTATAATAAAATTTTAGACAAATAAAATCGAAATTGAAATTACGCAAAATTACTTATTTTATACCAAGTATATTGTGTACAAAGAGCAATCCAAAATGTTGGAGAGTGAAATAACAATAATTATATTTTATATTGCCCTAAATAAGCTATGTATATATGGACGAGAAATTATAAGATTGAATTATCTAATTTGCATACAACAATCATGTTGGTATGCCAATATAAAATAATAAAAATTGTTAAATTTTAAAATAAAATAACAAGGAATGCTATTTAAAATATAAAGATGGAAAGCATAATAAAATTAATCCAAAAATCTACAAGGAAAAAAAATAACAAAATTAAATATATTTTTATAAACAAAAATATATAGAGATTTAAAAATAAAGCAACCTGAATATAGATATAATAAAAATGTCAAAAAAATATAGATAAGATTCTCTAATTATCTTACCCAATTACTCCAAAAATGTTCAGAAACTATTATGACAATTGTCACATTTCTAGTGTACATTTTTTAAATGTTTATTTGCATCAAAAAAAAATCAAAATTTTAAGAATATATATTTAACCCATTTGTATCAAAGGAATTAAAAATAAAAATTATTATTGTCATTTTTCTATGGTATTTTAACTGAAATCATAATTCAACATGTTAAAGTATAATCCATTTACTTCAAATTCAAGGAAATTATAAAAATTAAATAATAATACTAAATTTGAACTTACCCAATATAAAATATAACATTTTATTTAACCTAATTCTGAAAAACAAAATTTAAAATTAAAATAATGATTTAAATTATCATTTAAATGTTCATGGTCAGTTGGTATAAAAAAAAACAGATCTTCAAATTTTATGTTCTTTATAGATCGCTGCAAAAAAATTTTGGAAAAATATATCTTCAAATTATAGACTATTCAAGATCTCGCTCGAAGTAAACTTTGGAATATATCAAAAAAAATATATAAGGAAAATTCGTGGAATCTGCTAAAGGATTACCTATTTTTTTAGCAAGAAACAAGATCAAAATAATATAATGATTATGTGTAAAAATCTGTAATAGTTATTCCTTTAAGAATATGGTGCTGAATTAAGGAATAAGATCCAGACCCCGGTTAATTTTTGAAGATGCTATAACTTGATTAAAAAATTTAACGAGACTTTTTTCAGTTAAAATTTACATATAAAGCAGCCATTATCACAACAAGAGAATAGTGGTAACTTCTAATCTTTCCAACGGATAATAATTAATTTCTTCAATATGTTCAATAACTAATTATTACTGTCTTTAATAAACAAGGATAATGGACCTATAAAAAAAATTTAAAAAATAATATATAGAAATATAACCTATAAACAAGTCAGGCTATTTCATAATTTTATTAATTATAAATATAATATATTTTATATATTCTGCAAAATAAAAACTCTATAGTATTTTGCCATGCCATTTTCTAATTAGAATTTCTATCATGATACAAATATATGATTTAATTAAATATTTATACCATTAAATCAGAATATTTATTTTACATTCTTAATAAAGTGTTGTAATTTGAGGTTGAGCACTAACAGATTTTTTAAGTAATGGTAGTAGTTGCACCACCTAAAAAAATTGCCATATTTGCAGTCCTTACATGTAATTTTTATCTTTTTAAAAATATAATTGAATGCGAGTACTTAAGTTTATTTTGTGGATATATATATATTTGATCATATGAAATTTTTATTTTATATTTTTTTCTCAACTTAAAAAATAACACCTTTTATACCTATAAAATTGTTTTTAAAATGACTACTAACTATAGTGCCATTAGTCCTCATACCTTTGAAAAGGTTCAACGAACTAAAATCACCCTTGAAAACTTTTATAGTAATTTGCTGATGCAACACATTGAACGTCAGAATAGGTATTAAAAAATATTGCAAGTTTATATTATACAAATTTTAGGCAACGCCATTTGGAAAAATCTATGAATGATGAGGGATTATCAAACGAAGAAGTAAGGCATTTCTTAAATAATTATCCTGCAATTCTAGATGTGTTCTTTAGCTAAAGTTGTATAGTTTTATTTATATAATGTTATGTGTTGTCACCTATAATAAGCATTTATAATATATTAATTTCATTGTTTATATAGTTTTTTATTAGAATTAAGTTATTTCAAAAAATTTAACCCTTAAAAATTTAAGCCACACTATTATTCACAACATTCATGAGCATTTATTTTATATATTATCTTGCAAATTATATACACAAGAAAGTGATCAAAAGGCAACAACATGCAATAAAAGAAACAGAATTCTTAAGATTAAAGCGCTGTAGACTTGGCGTTGATGATTTTGAACCAATGAAGGTCATCGGGAGGGGAGCCTTTGGAGAAGTATTTTTTATTTATTTATTATGAGGATCGATTATAATTTTTAAAAAATGTCAAATTATAAAAATCTTATTTTCTCATTTGACACCACGATTCAGAATGGTTTATGATATTTAGTTATAATTAAAATTATTTAATAGTATGATGCCATATCACTTTCTTCCTTTAGCCTTTTCTAGAAAGAGTATTTTAGTTTATTTTTCTTTTATATTCAAACATTTAAAACATTAATTTCTTTTCAAATTTACATTAAATCATTCTCAAATAGAATAGTTTTGGATGTTTTATATCAATTTTAGTGAAACCTCTAAAGATAACAACATGAACATTGCAATCAGGACAATATGGATTAAATGCCTATTAGATTTAGAAAAATTAACTAGTTCTTTCTCATGTGAAATATTGGAAAACATGAAAATTTAAGAGCAAAACTATTTGCAAAAGAGTGTTGTGTATAGACCCTTCAATATTGAGTATTGAGAAAAACATATTTCTAAAGACCATCTTAAATAGTTATAGGATAAGCAACACTTTTACTGGTTGTATTGATAATAATGATAACACCAATTGACTTTAAAAATTTACTTTTAAATGGAAAAAATAAAATTAACATCTGATAAAAAGGAGGAACCACAAATTTCTATTACATCTCTAATCGAAAAGTTCTCACAGGTTAAGAGAATATATAGGGATACAAATATTTTAAAATTCTGGGAAGAAAATTCTTCAATATATCCAGAACTATATATGATCTACTTGTACCAGCAACAGAAGTACAATAGCTATTTATTTTAGGCCAGCATAGAACGTGAATTTTATTCTTTAGAATACGTATTGTCAGAATTCACGTAGAAATCTCAAAAAGGATGATATTTTAGAGGATGTTACAATTTGTGCGATTTAAATAAATCAAAATATAAATTATATATTAAATTTAAAAAAATTTTCTACTTGTAATCTTTATGTTATCCAAACTCGGACCCAAACCCCCTTTTTTTAAAAAAAAAATTCTCTTATTTATTTTTTCTAAAATATTGGATCAGCTGTTTTTTAAAAATCGTTTTACAATAAATATTTAAGAAAATCTATCAATCACGTTTCTCTTATCGATGTTATTATATTAGCTTACATTTTAAAAATGAATTTAAATCTATACAGTAGGCTTGCCTTAGCTATCTTTTATTTAGATATATAAATTAATATACTAACTAATTTAAACTAGTATAATTGGGTAATGGCTAAATGTCGCTAATTCTGCTCAATCTTCAGGCGTCTGCCGGAGAAAATCCGTTAACATTAAGGCGTTGTAATTTATATTAGTATCTTCCAAATTTGAGCTGCTAACTTTGAGAAAAATCCCGAGTTCAAAGTGATGGTTTTCGGCTGAAAACTTGGTTTAGCCGGTTAAAAATGTAGTGTAATTACCCAACTATAATAACTAGTATCAAGAATTAGAAATTATTTATATGAACCGTTAAAAAATTTTTAATTATCGTTATTTTATATTATTGTTTTAGATTAAAACTTTATTAAAAAAAATTATTTCATTTTTTTGATTGGTCAATAATAATAAAAAAATTTTAGAATTTAAATCAAATTGATTATTTTATTTTTTAAAAAATAAGCTTTGAAATCACTATTTAAATCAAAATGATTTTTTTATTCGATCAAACAATTTATTGTTATATTTAAAAAAAATATTTTAATTTTTTTATTATAGGTTAGATTGGTACAAAAAAAGGATACGGGTCATGTCTATGCCATGAAAATATTAAGAAAATCTGAGATGCTAGAAAAGGAACAGGTCTTAATATATATTTTTTATGTGTAATTTTATTTACAAACTAATTATAATATTTTTACGTTCGAAGGATATTTTTTTTCTGCATCTCAATTTGATTTTCAATTTTTTTTAGAAAAAATTAGTTATGACATAAATTTAAGGAATATTTTATTTTTATAAATCTCTTGATTTAATCCTTTTAGTTTATAATTTTTTAAAAAGTTTCAAATTTATATTAAAAAAAAATATAATAGTAATAAAAGAAATGGAAGCAGTAATATTGTGACAAAGATGTTATTTTAAAATCTATAAAAAAAATTGACACTTTCTCTTAGTAAAAGTTGCGAACTATTTAAAATGTGGCGATTAAGTTTTCAAAAAAAAATACTTAATTCCATTGGAATGATTTATTTAATACCTCGATTTAAATTCTAACTAGGCAAGTATTGCTAGGGGGTTAAGCTCCCCCACTAATTTTTATTTTTAGCTTTTTCAAATTTTGAGGAGTTGAGCCCCTTCCCCAATAATTTTTTAATTGTGTATGAATCGCTTTTTTCTATATTATTGTTATAAAAATTGAAATTTTTATATAATCAGGAATTTTTTTTATATTTTTTTTATAGCCACATAAAAGTTAGAGTAAAATGTTTTATTTTCTAATATTTTTACTTCTGCTTTATGTAAGGTTATAGAGTGAGTTTCACCGCCAACAAATAATTGATAAATAGCTCCATTTTTAACAAGTTTTGACGTTACTCTAAGATTAAATCAAATTTTTTTTAGCTAAAACTCTCATCTTAGTCTCGATCAAGGTTTAAATTTAAAGGATGGCTCAATCTTGATAATACGATATACTCTTGCCGACAGCGAATATTTTTAGAGTATTCGGATTTCGACGATTTAACAACACTACAGGCAAGAAATAGAGCAATTTTAACAAAATCTTTTCAATATTTAAATAGAAATTTGAAATTTTCAAATAGGTAAAATGTTGTAATTTTCTATGAAAGAAATAATAAATTGGGATATTTTTTTTATCAGATTCTTAAGTGACCTTTTGCCAATTAACCATTTTTTTTATTGATTGAATGATATTAAAAAATAAAATAAATTATTAAGGAACATATTGACAATAATAAATTATTATTTAAGCCATCTACATTACAGAAAATTTATTGGAGCCAAACACCTCTGAAATCTACCGCCTCCCTAAATCCGCGCTCTTCGGCCGCGATAATTACTCCCCCCCCCATTATGCTCTATTAACCCCATGATATTAATTTTAAAAAATATTATAATGAGCCACCATTTATAACCTTAAAACAATTCTAATTAAACTCTTCCAGGCATCATGATTATTTAGGCCAGGAATTAAATATGAACATTAGTTAGTGATAATCAACTAGTTATTACAAACAATATTCTGAACATTAGCGTTTATAACTTTAAACTGAACTCAAATAAGAGAAATAAATATTTATAAATAAATTTAAATTCTATTTTAGCATTCATTTTTATCATTAGTCTACATATAGTGTTTATTTTTACTTATCCCCATTTGGAGAGATGCCTTCTCTTTTTACCCCTTCAAAAAAATTGAAGGTAAATCGTTTCTACTTTCCTCTCTCATGTTAACGTTATATGCAGGTAAATTATTTACAGATGTCGCTCGATTCAAAAATCCCATTTATTTAAAAATATATCATTTTAAAAAAATCCATAGAGTAAGATTAAAAATAGACCAATTTATAATTTCTCCACAAGCATCATAGTGCGAACAAATTGAGCCTTTTAAACGCTGCGTTGCAAGCGCCAATAATGCCTTTCAAATGAGCTCGTGAAAATTAGTAAGATTAACGTTTAGCGTTAGCAACCATTTAAAAAAAACGCAAACATGTTTGCTTTTTCAATACTTTTTTTATACTTCGTTTTGTAATATTATATAAAATATAATATAAATAACTTACTAAGATCCTAAAAAGGAATATTTAGAAATTAAAGAAATAATAACGCAGACGATATTATAATTTTCAAGCGTTACGTTTTTTTTATTTAAAAATTACCGCAAAACGTAAACGCACAATTTGTGCGCACTATCATGCGGCAGTCCTGTCTAATGGATAGCCTTGAAAACGAGAGTTAAAAAAATGAGTTGAATAAATTTTTATTAAGATGATTTTATTTTTTTAATTTTAGAAATTCTTTCCGATATATTCTCTTTTTTAAAAAAAAATAAAATTGGCCTAATAACTGTCTTAGTATGTTAAAATATATATATATGTATATATTCTCATTAGACGTCAATCAGATGGATTGTAGACATCTGATTGGAGAAAAATATTATTATTATTTAATGTAAAAAAAAGAAATAATAATTATAGTAGTAATAATAGTTATAGATTTGTATTATGGATATTGATGATATTGTATTTTTCGTATAATTTTTATAAAAAATAAAGAAATTTTGAATAATTTAAATATTGTGGTTTTTATATATATATATATATATATATATATATAATTCGAAAAATATATTCAGGAATATACTTCAAAAGAATATACTTAAAAAGTTGAAAATATATTCAGGAATCCAAGGATTAAAATTGTACCAATACTTAAAAAATAACCTAGATGCGTGATTTGGCGAAAGGACAAATAAAAAAAATCTGCCAAAGATTTTAAATTAAATGAATATGGGAAGATGTTCCTACTGAAGATTTTTAAAAATTCTTAAATTATGTGGATACCTAGATTTTCATAAGTGGAATCTTGATATCAGAATAGATTTTAAATCCATGTATCAAAATATTTAAAAGGAATCATCGCGTGTGAAACGATACTTTTTAAAGAAAAATACAGCCCAAAGAGAAATGAAAAAAAAATGAAATTTTTTTAAAATTTTTTATAAATATCTGTTATTTAAAATTTGTAACATTATTTATAAAATATAATAATTAAAAAATAAAAATTTTTTATAAAAAATCGATTTTATATATATATATATCATTTTTTTTGATTAACATTGATTCCAACCCCTAAAACCCACCAATCAAAATTTCTATTTATTATTTAAAATCTCACCTTGTAAAACAATTTGAATCAAATTGAAATATGTATTAATTTTATTTTTTCTAAATTATAGGTTGCCCACGTTCGGGCTGAACGGGATATTTTGGTTCAAGCGGATCACGAATGGGTCGTTAAAATGTATTATTCCTTTCAGGACGCTCAAAATTTGTACCTTATCATGGAATTTTTGCCAGGAGGTTTCTTTTTTTCCTTAAAATGAAATTATAATCTTCGCTCAATATTTTGCTTAATTTTTTATTTTAATAATTTTGAAAGAAACAAACAATATGACAAATCTCATATCCAATTAGGTGTTATTTGAGAAACTAAAAAAAATATCTTCAAAATTTTTTTCTATTTCATCTTAAAAGATTTTTTTATGCATGAAAATTATATTAAAAAATTGACATTTTTGGGAGAAATTTGATCAAAAATATTTGTTCTTCAAAAAAAAGAGTAAGAAATTTTTGTTTTTTTAAACTCTGTTAGAAACTAATCTTATTCAATACTTAAAAAATAAGATTATCTTTTGAACTAAACCTAATATTTGAATTTAAGGTAATAATCATCGTTATATATTGTCCATTTCAAGTTTTGTTTAATCGGCTGATTTTTTTTTAAGACCTCCAAAATATTTTAGCCAAAGAATATCACGCAATCCTGAAGGTTTTGCTCATAGATGGCAGAAAGATTTATACATCTATTTAACAAAATCTCTAGCCTCAGCAGAATATTATTTTGGCTAAAATCTTAATTTAAAATCAGCGAGATCGAGCCGTTTAACAGCACTGCTCAATTCTTGATAAAACTTTTAGGCTACGTCCTAACTGTCTAAATAGAATTTAATTTTTAGACTAAAAAAATAATAAAAAGAATTACATCCTTTAAGCGTGTTTTATAAGGTAGCGTCATTTAACCCTATGTCAAAATCATTTTAAAAAATCCAAAAGAAAATGTATTGTCTGAAGAATTGAGAGCAAAAATTAAGGCACGTTTCTTTCTTTCTTCTTCTATTAGAATGCTTCTTTAGAAAATATAGTTGATTTAATTTTACTTTATTTGCCCTTCTTTCTCCCTTTAATTAATTTTTTTCTCCTATTACTCTAAATGATGTCATGAAACTATTTTTTTTTATTATACTTAAGGTGACCTGATGACTCTCCTCATGAAAATGGACACCCTGAATGAAGAGTCCACAAAGTTTTACATTGCCGAAACTGCCTTGGCCATTCAATCTATCCATAACCTGGGATTTATCCATAGGGACATCAAACCAGACAATTTATTACTCACTGCTAAAGTTTTTGCAATTATTTATCGTTTTAGAATTGGAGTCCATTATAGCTATATAATCCACTTTATAAGTTAAGAAACGCGGAGAGATGTCGCGCGCGATTTCCGCCTTAATAGGGCCTGAGATGATATCCTCAACAACAACAAAAAAAAAATAGACAAGGCTTCATAAGAGGGGGGGGGGATCATATGGGATGGAACCCGAGATTATTCGGAGAAAAATCAATTTGTTTTAAAATAAGGCCAACCTTGGATTATACATTTAGGCCCAATATTTTCAAAGAAATATATATACAATAAATAATTTTGTTTTTATCAAAATAAAAGGGTCACATAAAATTATCCGATTTTGGCCTTTGCACCGGGCTTAAAAAATCTCACAGGACGGAGTTTTACAAAAATCTGTCTCAAGTCCAATCAGAAGAACTAAGTAAATAAAAAAAATTTTGAAAGCAATTATATTTATTATTTTATTAATCTTTTAACATTCAATCCCTACTTTTTGGGCCAAAATTATAGTAGTTAGGAATAAATTGCGTATATAGGGATTCGAGGTCTGCAAGGGGCGGGTTCTTAGCCCGAACGCCCGCCCATTGTTTTTCATATTTTTAACTCGCACTCTTATTCCCCCTCCTCCTCCTGCCCGTTGCAGAATTCCAAAGATATCTTTTCAGCTATTTGGACTCAAACTTTAATTTATCCTCAAATATTATTATAAAGGATATCGTCTTATTTTAAAATTGAATCTCTTTATTTTTGGTTTAAGAGTTATAAAATTGAATTTAAATTTTATTTAAGGAGTTATATCACTCTTCATTCTTAGATAATATAAAATAATACGATAAGGAATTTCAGATAAATTTATCTAATCAACGCTTTGGACATTAGCTAAGTCGGGGTACCCTGTTGTGTTTAAAAATATCAATTTTGTTTTATTTTGTAAATATAAATTTGTTTGTATAAAATTAATTGTTAATTGCTTATTTTAGAAATATATATAGAATAATAATTGAATAAACAGTCAGTTGTTGTTTTTTCAAGAATTTAGTACTATATTTTACAGTACTCAATTTTTTTAAAAACTTTCATTTAATTTTGCCTAATGTTGTTTCAGCATGCATATTATGCCCGATCTAAAGAAATATTTCAGACAATTTTTGCGTAACATTTAGGATTAAACCTGAATTAATATTGGTCGTTTAAAATTAAAATTGATTCAAAAATTTAACGGCAACTATGAAATACATTTCAAGACAAGATTGCTAAAAAATTAAAGTTTGGCTAATTACCCCTGATCTTTTTTTTGATGCTCTATGGAATACATTTTGAGCAAATTCCTTCTTTAAATAAAATAGTTGGGAGATATTAAGATATAATGATCGAGGGATAAATCTGTTTATAAGGTAGTGTTTAATATTTTTATATATTTTAACATTAAATTTTGCTTAATTTTTTTTATATGATAATGTAAATTTTAGGATATTCATCTTCAACTAACCCAGAATTAACATACCTGGATTCCAAACGTAGAAGGGAAAGCTGGAAAAAGAATAGAAGAGCATTGGTTACCTTGAATTTTATTTCTCTTTCTTGCTTAAAAATATCAAAAATTTCTGAATATTTTTTTCTAAACCCGAGTTGATAAATATGTAGAGAGGGAAAAATATATCGGATAATCTTTTAAACTTTTTTGTCCTTTTTACGGGTACTAAGTTTTAAAGCAAACAAAAGTTAAAAATAACAACCAGGTTATAAGATTATTACTAATATATACACATTTGTTTTAGGCTTATTCGACGGTAGGTACCCCTGACTATATTGCCCCAGAAGTTTTTACCCAATCTGGTTACACGGAGTCTTGTGATTGGTGGTCTATGGGAGTTATTATGTACGAGATGCTCATAGGTTACAAATTGCATTTTGATTTTGCCTCATAACAATATGTTATATAGGTTTATTCGTCAAAAAAAAATTTCCTTTTGACATTTTTATTGAAAAAATAATTTATGAACTATATTAGGCCTACGCATTGTTAAACAGCTCGAACGCTGGGTCGAGATTTTCGGCCTTTAAGGTAGAGCCGCTAAAAACGACTCATTTTTAAAAATATTCGAATAGTTTTTCCAAAATGGAGGCTCAAATTAATTTTTTTTAAAAGTTCTGAGTTATTTTTATAATTTCTCTCAATTATTAAATGGCTGGTGGCATGTCCTCTCTTAAATAGAATCGTTATATACGCCACTCCCCTTTTATTAGAAGTGTCATTTAACGCAGACCCTTTAGTCGAGAGTGATCGAGTTTAATTTTTTGATTGACACAAATCACTTGTATAATAACTATTATTCCCTTTTTTTTATTAATTTATAGGTTACCCACCTTTTTGCTCTGAAACTCCCCAAGAAACGTATAGAAAAATCATGAATTGGAAAGAAACTTTAATATTTCAGCCTGAAAATCCTATATCTAATCACGCTAAAGACCTTATCAAAAAGTTATTATTTCCTTTTTCTTCTAAGGACTCGATATTTTTCTATAAAAAATTAAATCTAATTCTACCTTTATTAAAATGAGCCATCTATTATAAAATCCTCTTTACTTAATATATTGACCTGCAGGCCCGGTCCTAAATCTACGGGCCTGGCCATATTAAATTTTTTTTAAATACCTGGGCCAGGTCGTGCAAATTGTAACTGCAGATCTCTAAAATATTGAGATGACGATATATTTTTCCTCTTAAAATTGTAGGTTGTGTTGCGACTATGAACATAGGTTAGGCCACGGGGCTGGTTTGGAAGAAATCAAGACTCACCCCTTCTTCAGCGGGATAGATTGGAGTTTTATCAAGTAATAATTTTAAATATATAGTAGAACCTCTATAAAGTGCTTGAATCGCAAAGATAATCCCCCCCCCCCCCAAAAAAAAACATTTTCCCTTATTAATTTTTTTATAAGAATAACCCTTTAACTTCTCAGGGAAACAAATTGTGGAGAATTATTTTTCGCTTACCATAGTGCTTGCTTGGGGTGGTTCATTAGCTGCTCACTTTTAACAAACAGCTGTCTTTATTTATATTTCTTTTCTTTTATAAACATTTAAAAGTGAAATATAATCATAACATAGATCTAATAAGATTTACATATTTTATATTCATTTTTTTAGTGTTATTCATTGCTTGTATTTTGTTGTCTCTTAATATTTACATTTATTTAAAAAAATATTTTCTGAATATGTAATTTGTAAGCCAGATGCCAGGGCATCTTTCTATTATAACTAAATTTATATGCCGAAACATTTTTTAAATTATTTTCCTTTTTTGGAAGTCTATGGTTAGATTTTACTTTCTTATTGTCAGAACTCAAGATGACACTTACAAAATAGTCTCGTTATGAACTTCCAATATAATATTAAAAACATCTTTTAACCTTCACATGTGCAATTATTATCCGTATATAATGAATTAAAAAAATTTTTTTAGTGGAATATATTTATACAAAAAAATATATCATTTGAAATATCTATCCTGATTCCTCAATACACCTAATAATTGTATCCGGTTTTGCTTTATACCACCATAAATTTATCCATTTAATTTTACTACTAACAGTAAAATTGAATATATTTAATTCTAAAAATTGAGCTGATACACTTTTTATAATATTTTTATAAAATCCTTTAAAAGTTTTGATTGTTTCTTGATCAACTGATGTTATATTTGGCCTTAGGTAGGCTTGAATTCATTTTTTTTGTTGAATATTTTCTCAAATGGTCACATTTGTAGAGATCATCTTAATATTACATTTAAAAAATTGTGATAATAGAGGTTGTGATCAATATAAAGGGGAATAAAAACATTGACCTTTTTAATATTTCATCTCAAGGGACCCAGTAAAACTGTCACTATGAGGAGATGGTCAATAATGTAGGTTGTCCTATTAAGAAGTTTTACTGTATTTTTTACATCTAATTTAGATATCACCTAATATACGATTTTATGATTAATGTCCTTTAAATGTTATAAAATTTTTTGTTAAATCTGTAAAAAATTTGATAATACAAAGGGAGTAGGGTTGGAATGAAATGTTATTTATTATTTAGGATAACTTTTTGTTAAACCTATTTTAATGTCTAACTTATATATGGTGAATCTAGAAAGCCATTATGTTACATCAATGATTATTCAAAAATATATAGCTACAATTACATTATAAAAATCTATGATTTTTTTGTTATTTAGGGATAGGCCAGCCGTAGTTAGGATAACTGTAAGTAGCATAGATGATACCTCTAATTTCGATGAATTTCCCGAAGTTCCATTGGAAATTCGTAAACAATTCTTATTAAATTTATATAATCCTATTTATGCCTTTCGTGAATGAGTCGTTATTTATAAGTTTATAACCTTCCTTCAATTTAGTTTAAAAAAATATATATCCCAAAATATCATTTTTTTTAAGAATACAGAGATAAATGAAATATTTTAATATCCCCCGTCCCCACACATTTGCACGTAGCCCGCCCCTCCAAAGACTTGGAAGAAAGTAACGGCGTGGGTTTTAAGGATTGGGTCTTCGTCAATTACACCTACAAAAGGTTCGACGGCTTAACTACCCGTTTTCGAAACAATAATATCAATAATAATAATCCACTCTCCCATCTCAATTACAATAACATTACTCACACTTCGACAAACGCGTCTTCTTTGGACAATAACGACGCTAATCGAGAAAACCCCTCTTCCTCAACTATCGAAAACGTTGCCAGCGACTCCAGGAATCATGGATTCCAAACCATCGATCGCCAAAATATCGGTTCATCCCATCCTAACACCCCTTACAGCTCCTTTCATAATTGCGACAATGGAAATAGCCCAGGTTGCAATGCCACTAATAATAATAATTCTCCTAACTATATGGTAAATAACTTGAGTTGTGGTAACGATATGCCAGAGACTATTATAATCGCTCAGCCCGAAGGAAAAACTTAATATATAAATCATCTCTTTCGAAATTATTCCTTTAAAAAAAATGTGAATCCAAATTTCTTCTAAATTTATATTTGTGAGCAAAGCAAAACACACTATTTATGCATTATCTAGAAAAAAAAGTTCCTCAAAATGTTTATAAATTTTGATAAATCTAAAAAATAATATGCATTAGTTTAATAATCATTAAGTTACTATTTGGTTTAATATTTAGTATCGCAAATGTATTATTTTTTATATTCCGCAGTTAATTTTTTTTTTAAATAATTGCTTGATTATATATTTTAGTAAAAACTTTTTACAAGGCGACTTCTCAAGATCTGGATATTTTTTTTGCTCATATCTAAATAAGAAGAGATACCTTAAAAGTTTTATGGTTTAGAAATAACCAAAAAAGAATCACATCTGAAAGGTATCAAAGTTTTGACTTTGTATATATTTTCCAAATTGGTGTTATTATGTCACTATTTCGAATTTATACAACATAATTTTCAGTGATTTGAAAAATACATTCTATATTAAACTTATATAATAATTTAATATTTATTTATACGATATTTATAAAGATTTTTTTGCTAACTATTCAAAAATATGCATTTTTTTTTATAATAAAGTAAGTGATATGTTTTTCACGAATTTTACCTATATTATTCCTAAATTTTTATATAGTAGAATATAATAAATACATTTAGAATTTACTAATATGACTGAAAGAATTGCATGAAAAATTTTCTAAATAATGAATTATTGCTATAGTAAATCGTTCCCAGGCTTTGGGCTGGATTCATAGTGGGATTCGATCCAACATGATTAACAGCTGAGCGATTTTAAAAACTTTTAATGAGATCAAGTTTTTCTTATTAAAATCAATAGATTATATTAGATTATCAGGAATAGGATTTAAAAAAAGAAAAATTGATCTCATAAACAAATTTTAAAAATCGATTAGCTGTTAATCGAATTCCACTATGAATCCAGATAGGTAATGCCATCGCCATCCTAAGCGGTGATTGGGGGGGGGGGGGGGTATATTCCTAGCATACATTTGATTGAGTTTTAAGCCCGTTATTATATATTTTTTAAAAATTGAGTTTGGATTTTAGCTATTATTTTAAAAAAAAATAATCTTTTACTATTTTATGATTTATTGTGCTCTTAGGGGGGGGGAGATATTCCAGTCCCCTCAGTAACCTAATGGTGCAGCTGCAACTAATGTTGTAATGGGCCTGTATAATGCATTGAAAGAATTAGTAGAATGGTTAAGAGGCAAGTGGAGCTAAATTTAAATGTTTTTGAGGTTTAAAATCTAAGAACGCTTAATCTTAAAAGCTATGACCTATCGAGGCCAAGGTTTAGGAGGAGGAATTGAGGGCTTGGAGCGTGATAAAATAATTTGGGTTTATAATTGACTATTTATTTGCATTTTGAGAGGGAAAATAAGAGATTTTTTTTAAAAATTTTCATAAGAATTAGATATGTGCAAATCCCTGTTAGAACGAGCTGGGCCTATTTTTTAAAACAATTTCGGGCAGGGCTAGGCGGACAAATAATTTTGGGTTGAGTTTCTCGGTAAAATAAAATAAATTAGCGTTAAGTCTGAAAAATTAGGCTGATGCAGATTATAAATAAGAATTCGCTTTATTTATTGCTAAAGTACAATTTTATTTCTAAGTTTAAACGTAGGTAAATTTTATTTTATAATATATTTTATTTAAAATAAAGTATTATATAATGTATTACAATATTAAAATAAATATATATTAAAAAATAAATTATTTTGCGCATGCGTAGATAAAAACAAATAAATCTACTAAACAAATATACAATATACCCTTTATTTGCCATCGTTTTTAATTAGGAAGCAATTATAAAAATATAGGTCCCACCGAGATTCGAACTCGGGTTGTTGGATTCAAAGTCCAAAGTGCTAGCCATTACACCATGGGACCATATATAAATTCAGGGTATATCTATTACTTCATTAGTTCATATGAGCTGATTTTGTCTCCATTTTGATTTTGTATATAAAATTAAGGAGCTAAAATATAGGATAATAGCTAATAGTGTAATATAAATATAAATACAAATTGAAAAAATAAGATTTAAATGAATATATTCAGAATAGGAAATTAAATTCATATAAAAAAAAATTAAAACTTGTATAGTCTCATGAATTTTTGTAAATTACTTCTTTGTGTCATTAAATATATTTTGGTTTATTATTTTTGTTTATCTAAAAAGAGAAAAAGCATGTAAAAAAAATAATTTTTTAATTTAATTAAAGTTTAAAGAAAATTTTGTTTGTGAATGGATTCCCGCCAAATATTAACAAAGAAACAGTATTTTTTTCAAAATTTGGTTTTAATTTACCAAAAATTTTATCAGATTAAAATACAAAATTATCATCATTGTAATTTTTGATATTTAATACTTTTTTACCTTGATTAAACTTAGTTTTTTGTTTCAAATACTTTCCCTAAAAAATAAATTTTCAAATATAAAAAAATGAATATAATTATTTAATCAAAATAATCTACATATTGGCTGCTAAGTATAAATATAATTTATTTATTTAAAGTTTTGTATCAGTTATTTAATGTGTTTTCAAAAATTCAACCAGTATTGTTAAAATTTTTATAAGCAGCTTAGCAATTTTTTTTTATGTATTAAGTTAGTTTATTAAAAATATCATGTAAACTATTTGTAAATTAAAATCTATATAAAAAACTGTATAATAAAAAAATAAAATAATTAGTATAGTAAATTGTATGTTGGGTGGGAGGAGGTCAAGAAAGAGAGCCGGGGATGGCAATGCAGTTAGATCTGCATATATCAATAGATATGCGCTGTCTGAGATAGAAGCCTTCCTGTGGGTCACCAGTGATGGTGCGGATTTTTTTTACCAAGGGATTTGAAGAAGGTTAGAACATGATTGCCAAAAAAACCGGTTGTGTCGGATACGATTGGTATGAGATTGCAATTGGTTAGAGAAGTGTATTTATTAATTTTAGAGTTTTCCGCTCGTATGAATGAGGGTAATTTTTAAAACCCATATCTTTCTTAATCTTTTATTTTAGTTTGTCAGACTACTGGTAAATTTCCAAAAAGTGTAAATCAATAAATTAATTTATATTTAATGTTAAATTATATCATATTAATTGTATTATATAAAATCGGTATAAATTGCTTTAATATAGTGAAATTCTGTTTTCACATTTTAAATTTTATATTAACGATGTGATTAACTTTTTATTATAAGTTTCTTATTAGATTTAATGTAAATCTTAAAATTTTTTTTTACCTTTCCTGGTGGTAAGCTCATTCAATATCTCTCTCCACTTTATGTTATTTATACTCGTTTATCTAATTTATATTTCATCATATTGGCTCTAACTTTATGGCCCCATTGAAGTTTTGGCCTTCCTCTTTTACGTTTACTATCACTTCCAAACTCTCAACCTTATTTCCTATGTAGTTCATAGGCCTTCTCATTGTATGCCCATACCATCTAAGTCTGTTTACAATTATCTTAGTCTAATGGGCACTATCTTTAAACTTCCTAGTATTCTTGTACTTCGCACCTTATCCTTTCTTGTTACCCCAACAATCACCCTCAGCAGCATTCTCATCTCCATAGTATGTCATTGGTTTGGCCATGTTTCCTAACTATATAGAATAGTTGATTCTACTATGAAACTGTAAATTTTTCCCTTCAATTTGTGTGGGATTCTTTTGTTAAAGAGCACTCCAGATAAAGATCTCCACTTTAAACACCCTTGATTAATTTTACTCTTTATCTCTTTCTCTATTGTGTCGTTTGTTTGTATAGTGGTTCCCAAATATTTGAGCTTTCAATTGCCGATATCTGCCATTCTTTTATAATTTTCTCTGTTTCATCTCCTCCTATCACCATATACTCCGTCTTTTCTCTATTTACCTTTAGTCCGTGCTTTTCTAGGATATTTATCCAGCTCACTAATCTTTCTTTCATTACATTCTTGGATTCGGCAAGTATATCATAATCCACAGGACTGTTTGAGGTATAGACTGTGCTAATACATCTATTACTGTAATGAAGAGAAGTGGGCTGAGAGCCGACCCTTGATGAACTCCTTCGGCAATTGTGAAGCCTGATGAAGTACCCGTTGTGCTACAGACCATTGATGTATGGTCAATATACATATCCTGTATTATTCTTATATATTTTTCTGGAACCTTTATGTGGCGTAGCGCCCACCAGATATGTTTTCTTGGGATTCTACTAAAGGCCTTTTCTAGATGGAGAAAGACCATGTATAGCTTTTTGTTCTTTTCCCTGTATTTTTCACTCATTTGCTTAATTGCGTGGATAGCATCAGTTGTTGATCCTCCAGGCATAAAGCCAAACTGAGTTTCTCCTATTTCGATTATGTCTCTTAACCTTTTTTCTATTATTTTTTCGTAGAGTTTAAGACAGTGTGACATTAGTTTTATGCCTCTGTAGTTTTGACACTTGTGTAGATCCCCTTTATTTTTGAAGATAGGAACTATATAGCTCTGCCTCCATTTTTGAGGGATCTCTTCATTTCCCAATATTTTATTATACAGATTTGTGAGGAGATGTATTCCATCATCTCCTAGTGCTTTAGGGTTCTTTTGGAATATCATCTGGACCCCTAGCTTTGTTGTTTTTCATATGCTTGAGGCATGTGGTTATTTCGTTAAGGAAATTATAGACAAACAAACAATAATAATAAATATTTACTAATGTAATGTAAACATATTTGAGGAAGCTTAGCTCTTAATCGCTCTATTTCCACGACTCTCGGCTGGGCCCTGTGAATATTTCTGATATTAGAAAAAATGATGTTTATATTATTCAAGCTAATCCTTAAATGATTACTTATTTTTTCAAGAATAATATTATTTTATTTTTTGGTATTTTTACTTATTTTCATAATAAAAGATAATACTAAAAAATGGATACACCTTAAAAATATTACGCAAGCCTGAAGATTTTACTTAGAGATAGCACAATAATTTGGACATCTATTAGGCAATCAATGAATTCAATTCATACAATTTTACTTAGTTTATATGAATTATCTCGATGTTTAGTATTTTTTTATTTTTAAATATTTTCTTGTAATAATTTGATTAATGGAGAAAGTTGATTGGTAAATTTTCATGCAGGTTTTTCTAAAATTTGATATTTTCTAACCCTTAAAAAAATATAGTTATTGGTTTACAAAATTAAAATTAGCTTTTAGTTAATTTTACCATAAATAAAAATAAAATAATAGATGGAGTTAAACGTTTTTATAATTAAATTATCAATAAAAATCAACTAATTATTCAAACTTTTAGAAATTTACTTAATTCGTTATATATTATAAACAATATTATAAAATCCTGAATATTTAAACTCTTCATAATTCATCAACATTTGAGGGATAAATATTTCTCTAATAGGCACATTGTATGATCGTACAATAATTTGTTATATGAGCAAAAGTAAACTATTTAAAGAGAAATTGAAGATTTATTTTGTAAAAAAAAATTTTGAGCATTTACTCATTTAAAATTTTTTTAAAATAAATATAATTATGGTTTTTCAAATTAAGAAATAGAAAATTATCATTTTAGTTAAAATAAATTAGAATAAATATTCTGAACATGTTAGGATATTATTCCAATGACAATACAATAAAGGGTGAGGTGACAATTGGACGCACTCCCATTTTTTAATTTAAGTTAATATTATTAAATTAGCCAGGCCCTAAAGAAATTTTTTGAAAAAATACCTGTTCAAAATATTTTAAAAGCAAATTTTTTAAATCACCGCCATTATTATCTATGAAAATTAAAAATAAATATAAGATATCTAAAAAAGAAAAAAATTTGTTTTAAATCTGGGCCAAGCCTTTTTTAAATTTGGGCCGGGCTGGGCAAATGAATTATATTCTTGGAAAACACTTCAACTGTGTTAAGAATAGTATCCCATAAATAAAATATTAGATGTAATCTGGATGGAGTTCAACTAGAAAGCTACCTGCATATGCATTGAATAAATCTATATAGTATATATAATCATAGTCATTATTTTTCCAAACTTATTATTCGATAATTTTCTTTTATATTTTTAAATTAGATATATTAGAACCGAACTTTGTAAAACTTTTTGCTAACCACATGAACCTAAACCGAACCCATTTTTTAAATAAAAATTTAAATCCTTATTTTCGATTTTTGTCCGTTAGTTTCTATTTTTAACATTTTTAAAAAAAAAAAAACAAGTCTATTTGATTTATGTCAGTTGTGTCTTTTTCTGTAGTCAACTATTTAGTTCTAATCAATTTATATAATTAAAATAATAATATGAGAAAAAGTAATTTAAAAATTATCCCCAGAATCAGAAATATATGCAGAATAAGATATATGAATCTCTTCATTGGTTGTTATTGAATTATAGGAGAATTTTATCATGTAGAAACCTTTATGGTGTTGTCGATTTCTTATTTTTGTTAGATGTGTTTTTCCAGAGACCATATTCTTCAAAGGAAGATAATATTAATATGGTTTAAGAAATATATATTATATAAAACATATATATCAGAGTCATGGATAAAAGTGTCACATATGAAATATATATTATATAAAACATATATATCAGAGTCATGGATAAAAGTGTCACATATATTTTTATAATATTTATAATTATCAGATTCATCTTCTTTTTAAAACAAAAGAAAATTAAAATCAATAATAATCTTTTAGAAAATATATTGACAAAACGTCCATAAATGTCAATTACAAATTGACAGATACTACAAAAATGTTTCTTCATTCATTCTAAATTTGTAATGTCTAAATAGGTTTCATTTCATATATTTTATTATAGTCAACTTATAGTGAATCATATCCACAAATATAAGAAATAACAGATTATCATAAAGCCTTAATAAATAAAAAATAAATTTATATTATAATGATTGAAAAATGGGAAAAACGGATTAAAATATTATCTTATTTTACAGTAGAGGGAACTTACAAATATAACAGAGAATATATTATTACATTAGGAATGAATTATTTTATATTATTTTGAAGATGAAAATCGTAACAGATAAACAAACGGAAAGAAATATTAATTACCATATATTTCTAAAATCTAAATGGGAAATACTCCCAAGGAAAATAATTCACGGGTATCTATCCTATGCTTACACCAACAACTTAAACTTAGATATGCAAATAAGATAGTAAAAAATAAATTAAATGTACTAAAATAAAATAGTTATGTGCCATCTAACCCCAGGCCATAAGCCTACTCTGGATTTTCTTAGATTTGGCTTTATTAGTTTCCCCAGACAGGCTAAAGAGACCCATGAGCATATAGTCAATCAACTCATTCCTAGAAGAATGAATTCTTTATCTATGGTTACTCCTTTCTAGTAATAAACAAAAATCCTTTGATTAATGTATTAAATAGTAAAATATTGGAGATTACCCAATGCAATGATATCCACCTGCTAGGTGTAATTAAAAAATCACATCGTCTTTACCTTCTAGAGATGTTGTGATTACACAAACACCCTTACTAGTCGTTAATAAAAGTAGATATCACCTTTCTTGCTCTATGTCTTGTGTTTCGATATAGAAGCAGTTAATACATTAATAACTCAAACAATGGATGAAGCTGGCTTTCCAATTCATGTACAAGTCTTTCAATTCTCAATCCTGGCAGGCCCATGTTTCCTTCAGCATTAAATATGGATCTTATCGACTCCATCAAGAACCTCGAGATAAGTAATCATTACAACAAGATTCTTATTCTCTCCTCTTATTTCTAATACATTAGGATACTTGTTCTCGAATTTGAATGTAAATTAATTTGTCAAATGACCCTAATCATACATTATACTTTAAAAAATCAATTCTGAAATCGAGATAACTACATATTTTCAAAATTTATTTCCTCTACCTATTCAGATATATTTTCAAAAATTAAAATATATATATATATACTCACCTATTTTTATACGATTATCATTTTTTTATCCAAATAGAGTTCCATAGATCCTTATTTCTTATTTATGCCCATCGCCTGTTCCATTCTCACCACCTTCGGTAACAAGGCTCAATTTTAAAGAATTGGGCAGATGTTGAAAGAACCAATCAGCCTAAGAAATCCCTTTTCTTATGACAAAGACTTACTATCACAATTATTTGCTCTAACTATCTAAGTCTTATCTCTTCCATCGAATAATTTTCCATGCTTCATTGTCCTTTCTTTCTTCCTTTTACCGTCCTAGTTTTAATTAACTATTTTCTTTTTAAGACATCCTCTTTTTAAATCCCTATCCTTTCTCCTAAATTCTATTTTTATATTTTTAACCTTCATTTTAATTTTATATTAAATTAAAATAATTAGACGCCATTACCTATTGATAATATATTATATCTGCCTATTCGAATAAATAAACCAATGACCAGTTAAAATTATAATATATTAAATTTTTTTCTTTAAAATTACAGATAAAAAGAAAGGTTCTATAATTTTGATCACATACTAAAAGACTAAATAAATGAGTAACATTATTGTTTTATTTACGAAATCTTTTTAGTGCAATAAAAGCAATAGAAACATATACAAACCGAATTTCCCATCGTAACTCATTATATCCCCAATACGATATATGTAATTATATTACTCATAAACATGCAGAAGTGATTTTGGATTTCAAAATTTAAACGAAGGATATTTTCCCTACACTAATTGGAAAACAGACTCCTTTATAAAATTCGCACGATTTTATTTATTTCATAGGCAAAAAAAAATCTATGAAAAGCTATAAATATAAAACAATAAATTATAAAGCATACACCATCTCTACGCGTACAGTATTATAATATAATAAATATAGTTTTATAAAAGAATATCACGGTTTATATTGCACAATTTTAGTTTACTTTAAATTATTCTTTTTTATAAAAAAAAATATCAATAAATACAAATTTTATATATTTTTAAAATATAATATTTTGAGAATGACGCAATCGAAAGAATTCAAATGAAATTTGGCGTTTCGATCCCAGTCAGCAAGCGAAAGATGGAGGTAGGCATCGTCTTCATTTCAATCTAAATCATGAGATAAAAAGAAGAAGAAAAAAAATTATACATTTTTTTAACCAAAAAATCAGATATCTCCAAGTTTGGAATCGGTGATCTGAAGAACCCCGATTTCAAGCGCGGAATGTTTATTTTTATTATATACCTCGCCGATGCTGGTGGAAAGTATTTTGACAATTTGGTCGTGAGGAATGGCCACAACACTTTCCCCATTTATTTCTATGATCCTATGGCCAACTCTGATTCCTCCTCTTTCGGCTATGCCCCCACGCAATAAGCTACATATCTGCGTTCGAAAAAAATATCATAAAACATAATAATTTATAATTGAGATCGGCGCAGTTGGTCCCGAGGGCTGGGCAAAATTTTTGGGCTGGAGCGAAAAAATTTTAAGGACCGGGCTGAAGTTTTGAAAAAGGTTATTAAAAATTGATACTAGGCGGCAAATTTAAGTCGTTTCCCGTTCGGATAATTCTATGATACATGGACGAAATAAACGAGATTTTTTTTGACCACCATATTTAAATGAAACTTTATATGTTAGTTAAATGGGGAGAAAAATTTATCCGAATCAAAATGTTAGAGCTCTCGAACACTTAGACCCGAAGTTATGGGCTTTCAAAGTCCTGGATATCTGGCTGGTAAAATAAAATGTAACAAATCCTAAAATCCAAGCTAAACCAGGCTTAGAAAATAGATAAAAACAATAGGCTATTAAAATATAAATTTATAAATTACCCAGCTGTTATAAGTCTTCATATACCATTCATTTGAGGGTAGGTGCAATCTTAATTTAAAGGAATCCCAAACTAATCAAAAAATGTTGCTAGAAAAAATCACAAAGACCCCCCTCCCCTTCACACACTTAAATGCTTTTTCGGAAAATACAATTTTTTTAAAGAAAATAAAAAAAACCTTCAGTATTAAAGTTTTTCCGTGAAAATAGATTTTTTATTTTTGTTTAGAGAAAATTATATTTTATAATGCTAAAAACTCATTAAGGTCATTCCCTTAATATTTAAATAATTGAGAGGAGAAAAAATGCCTCTAAATTTTATTAGAGCTTTTTTTTGATAATTTTAGAATAAAAAAATGCTATAAAGATGGCGCTTAAAAGTTATAATTTAATTTTTTTTATAACAGAAAATACGATATAGATAGCGTATTGTTTTAATGGAAGTGGTATTTTTTTTTATAATATGCAAAAAAAGAAGCATAAAAAACAAATTTTGCGTTTTTTTCAAAATGAAAATTAGGTTGGCTTTATTGGGTTTAATAAAAGAAAAGGTAAAAATAATTTTACATATAAAAAAACAAGCAATGAATAGGAAAAAAAAATAGATCAGTAAATGTAAGCTTGCTTATTTGACATATCTGCCGTCTGAAATTATTAAATGAATAAATCATCATCAAACCTCTTTAGGAAATATTTTAAATTCGGTCGATGTTACGCTTCATTTATATTAGTATGCTCGATTTGCTCAAGCGATACGAAATTTTCGCTACCTAATTTGGTAAAATTTATAAATAGTGTTCTTAAACGGCTCGTTGTGAGCCGATCTTTAAAAACGGCTAATTCAATATATTAGCCAGAAAAATATTGCCTAAGCCTCGAGATTTCGATAATATATGTATAGACCTTCTATGAGAAAGATCTTCAGGCCTGCGTAATATTTTTCTAGATGAAGTATTTAGTTAGCCGTTTTAAAAAATCGGCTAAAAATGAGCCGTTTAATAAACACTATTTTTAAATATGGAGCGAAATGATGAAATCGCGGCCAGTTGTTCATGTATATATCAAAAAGTAGTAAAGCTGTGACAAATCAACTGTGAATTCGCTAACGTTTAATTTAGCATCGTTTGAGCAAATCGCGCGTTACTCATTAAACAGATAATCGCAGTTGTTCAACAACAGTGACAGGACTCACATACAATTTATAACAGAGATAAATTAATACTATATCCACAATTTAGTTTTACGGTAACAGATACTAAGCCAAAAAAAACAACGGGATGTATTGATATTGTTATTTAATGTAAGGTCTATAGGAATTTTTTTTTTACTCTCAAAATTCAAAAAAAAACTCAACCAAAATTCAAATCAATACTGACGAACGATATTATTTATTTTTTAAATTGTATTTTCCGAAGGAGAATTTCGAGAGCAACAAAATAATATATTATTTAACAGTAATTTCGAACTTCGTTAAAATCAAGATTACACCTGACTCTGACTTTGAAGGCCCACAATTCTGGTTTCTATGTGAGCTAAAACTCTGAAAGTTAAAATTGGGTAAAATATTTAAAAAACTATTTGATAAATACACAAGGTTTCATTCATTTCCAAGAATGGTGAACAACGGTAGATTTTATGTGGAATGACCCTTCTCCAATTTACATCTCAGAATAATTTCAGTGGCAGGTGCCTGTAGGTCCCAACTTATTAATTTTTTTTAAAAAAATATCGAATCGGTCAGATAATTCGTATGAATATCCGTTATCGACCAATATCGTTCAATTAACCAATTCGATGTATTAAAATGACGTGTAGTTGTTATTATTTATAGAATTATAATAGTCCATTTGATTTATATGTATTTATTTTGGGATTCTATCCCCCTATAGACATTTTTCCCCCATAAAAATGTCACTGTTATAAAAATAGTCGCCCGATATCATATAATATCGTCAAAATCGGATAGGACTGGCTTTTAAAAATGGTACACCCCTTTAATACTAACTAATTGATGGTCATTTAAATAAGACAAAAATCATTCCAGAATTAAATCGGGGGTGATTACAATATATAATATAACATCTCTGAGTTATAACACTAAGATTAGGATAAAGATAAATCAAAGCGTCCTAATATGAATTAATCTCTTTTTATTAAAAAAATATATAATATAAATATTCAAAGTACAGTTCCATTTTGCACGCTAAATCCTAGCTGAAATTTGGAGTCGGGTCTTTTGATCTTGACTTGCACGACGGGAGAACATGGAATCACTTTTAATCTCACTATGCTCTCCTTGTGGCAACCCTAAACAAATATATCATATAATTACCAATCCACTCACTTCTATAAATATATATAATATCTCGAATCAAAATGCACATTAATCCGCTAAAAAAATCCCATAATTTTGGATAGATAAGATCTATTTGGCTTGAAAAATTTTCTAATAAAAGATAGGCGAAAATTTCTACCATTATAAATTATAAAATCGATTGTAAACCGGATTTTATAATCAAATTACATATTTTTTCCAAATGGAAACGTGAATAGGAATGTTTTAAACACGATTAATGATCCATCTTAAATAATTAATCATTTCGATATTTTCAAATCAAATGAATATTATCTTAGCTTTTGGTAGACCCTAACCTCAGTTAAATATTTTTTCATCATTTTAATTAAAGGGATTCAAAAGACGGTTATTAATCGTAACAATCTTAAGTTGAATGGATGAAAAAAATGGCTAATTCAATATTTTATCCAGAAAAATATTACGTAAGCCTGAAGATTTTGTTCATAGAACAGGGAAGTTCCACTATAGTTATTAAAGACTATTAAGGACATCTATTCGCGAACGAGTCTTATAGGCAATATTTTTCTGACTAAAATATTGAGTTATCCGTTTTTAAAAATCGGCTCAAAAGGAGCGATTTTGCATCACTAATAGTAGATCCTCTGCAAACGAGCCTCTATAAAAATGGTTGATTTTTGCCAGCCCAATCCGAATTAGGGGAAAAAATTAGACTGATTCATGCAGGAATTTAATACATAGCATTTTAGTTAAATCAGTATCCTTTTCTTCTCAGAAAATTATTAATTTTTATAGAGTTAAAAAGAGTATTTATTAATTAAGTAAAGAAGAAAAAAGAGATTATTCGCTTGTGTAAAAAAAGGGAAACCTTGATCCTAGCCTGGCAAGCTTCTAATGGAAGTCCTACCAGGCTAAATCCGTTGACGGAAATTATGCGATCGCCGACATTGAGACGTTTTCCGCGCGTGGCTGGCGATCCAGACATGAGGTTGGCTATCGTAACCGTAGGAATTATAGAGCCCCAACCGGATTCCACTATCACCAACCCTAGGATTTCCCCTTTACTTTTCGGGATTACGACCTATCAAAATCATGATTGTATAACCATTCTCCTTTATATCAGAGCTTATAAAAAAATTTCCCTCATGTATCATTTTATGCTTATCATTTCTAATATCGTCAGCTGAGTAATATATTGTTCTATATCCACTTTTATTTTGCAAATAATCGATTTACTACTAAAATTTCCCCACATCATCAAAAAAAATTTTAAAGTACATTTAAAAATAATCCTTTATTTACATTATTACATTGTGATCTCCTATTCATAATATGAGATATATATTTTTTTAATAAATACTATCCTAAATTTCTATAAAATATAAATGGATATAGAACACTTATAATTCAAAGAAATTATAAGAATTGTAAACTTTAAAATAGTACTTTTACTACCGGATTAAAAAAAAATAAACTTCAAGTTTTAAATGATAAATTAAAGTAAAATGCTATATATTTTTATTAAAATAATTGTTTTTAAAAAAAACTCTCGTTTGAATTATTACAATATTTTATATTTCCAGAAAACCCGAATGAGATTAAAATAAAGAAAAATAGAAAATGATGATCATTATTACCAATTTCCTCATTTTAAAAGCGCTATTACATAATTTAGGAATATTAATGAGTATACTTTTCTTAACTTAGCATACGATTGGAAAATTAGGGTTGTTAAACGGGTTCGATTTTCCAGATTTAGGTAATAGATGTCTAAATCTTTCTGCCATCTACGAGCCAAATCTCCAGGCTTACCTAATACTTTTTTGGTTAAAATATTGGGTTAGCCGCATTTAAAAATCGAGCCGTTTAACAAAATTAATTGGAATACATAATGAATACCTCCTTCTGCGTTTCCCTTTTGCTAAAAAGGTCGAGCTCCTCTCCGAAGACCTCTTGGGAATTGAGCACATCTTGATAATCCAAGCTTTGAAAAAGTGAACCGAAAGTGTTAGCGACTTCATTCGGCATCGACGTTTTATTTTCGCCGTTTATTAATAAGCCCTTGGATTTCAAAAACTCCAAGTAGGCTATTTGAAAAGCTTGTCCTAAAGATTGAGCTATCAGATTCGCCTTATTAACAAATGATAGAAGAAAAAAATGACATTGTTTGAAAAACAAATCTCAATATAAAGAGAAATATGGAATATGTATGAATGAATAGAACTTCGTCGGATTGAAAGACGTGACAAATCATTTTATCGTCAGCACTCGCGGGTAATTTCGATTCAAGGCACTTTTTAACCATCACGACGACTATATCTCCAATGTCGGCTATGTAACAAATCGATTTCAAGGGGTGATCCATCATAATTTCCTTTAGGGGAAGTTATTAAAACAATTGTATTTATAATTTCAGCAAAAAGGCTTCTTCAGTGAGAAAAAAACAAAAATAATAATAATTAATACAAAACAAGCTCTGTAAAGCGTAATCTATCTATATTGAATATACATGCTAGATAGATGTAAATGATGGATTTTTTGCTGGAGGATTTATTAGATAAAGCTATACCCACATACATGGTCTTGCGGGAAAGATAAGACCTATAGGACGTAGGGAAATATAATGTAACAAAAGCTTACAATGCGAATGAAAGCAAATCTTAGCACATTGATCAAACATATCATAGTTATTTTTTATAAGGTCTATAAGAAGTAGGGAAAGTATAATATAAACAAAAGCTTACAATGTGAATGAAAGCAAATCTTAACACATTGATAAAACATCAGAATTATTTTTTTTTATAAACGTTTTTTAAAGTTTAAAAAGAAAAATTAAAAAATCTACTTCATATTTGATGACTTGAATTTGCTCACTCTTTGAATAAAAAAAATATATAAATTATTTAAATAAATGATTATAGAAAGATGTAATTTTTTTAAAGAAATCAGAAAAATTCGCGTTTAGGATGGGTTCAAGAGGGCCTGTAGGTTATGAATAAGTCGAAATTTTATTTGATAAGGATAAATTACCTGAAGATTTGTGTTGAGCACCATGATTTTTTCAGTGGATATAAATAAGTCGACCTCGGTACTGGGCTGGCTTTCCCCGTCTAACGCCTTATATTTTTTTGCAGATATTATATTTAGCTTAGAATGATACAAAATAAATATAATGTGTGGGTCATTCTAGAATATTCCATATAAAATATGCGATTCGAATATCTTTTTTTTGTTAATGGATCATTATTATTCGTATTCAAATATTTTTTAAAAAAAATTTATATAATATTTTAAATATATTTTATATTATTATTATAATTTGAGATTAAGGAAATAGCCGTTAGAACAGCTGATTTATTTAAAATTTTATTCGTCTATTTAGAAACAAATGACTTGCCTGATTTGACAGGTTATTAATAAATTGGTTACATTTTATTTTAAGAAAAAACCATTTTTAATATATCTCAACCCTAACTTATATTCTATCCTCTAATAATACTTTCTGTTTAATTTTAAATATATCTAACCCAATATCATAGTTCAGTTGTAATTCATATATATAATCTTTATTAAATAATTTATGTTAAAATGTATGTTAGATATTATCATTTTAAAATTTTTTTTAGTGTATATACTTTTGATTTTAGTAATAATTCCTAATTATTAGCATTATAGCAATCATTTTTTCAAAATGGCCGATTAATTAAAAAAAAATTTATTAGAATATTATTCATTCAAATTAATATTCATATGGACGAATCCGAAAAGAAATATTAGATTCGGGAAAAAATCAGACTAGTAAAAAATGATCAAACTGGATGGTGATTACCTTGACTTGAGTGACAGCTTCTCTAGCTTGCAAAGTGCGCGAATGACGTTTATTAGACCATTGCGAAAGATGGATGTGGGTGGAACCTAAGTAGGCGGCCCTAAATAAGACTCCTTCTATCAATACTGTCCCAATATCAGTCGCTATTTGCATTTAAAAAAAGTTATAATTCAATATTCAGAATTGATTCTATATATTCATTATACTCTCCTTTTGATTATCAATTACTTTATTAAATCCAAATGAGTGGAAGGGTGTATGGGGGGGGGGGGGGAGGTAAGCAAAAATTAAAATTTTTATAAATTAGTTTAATTAATAATAATATAAATTTAATTTTTTAAAAAAAATTGAATAAGTTCAAACAAAATCATTTTGATAAGGTCTTTGTAATAGATAAATGCATTATAATTTATAATAACTCACCGATTAAATTTTTTTGAAGAAATAAAGCGGCATTGATTTTTTTTAAACAAAATAATACAAATTATTACGAGTATAAAAAAATATATAATATTTATGATATTACTAATAAAATGGATATATATGGAATAGGAATGAATGAATGACCTTCTTTAACCTTGGGGGGTTTGTTCGAAGCTTTTGATACTGGAGCGTTGTCATTCTGATATAAAAATATCGATTAAAATAACATTAAAATACAAAGAACTTTAGATTATAGAAAACCCCCAAATTATAAAATCTTGACTTTATCCACAAAATAATAAACCGTTTTTAAAATAATTTGAATATAAGATTACGTGAGTTTGTAAAAAAAACAGGATAAAATAAAAAGGCGACATTTAAATTATGTATTGTTTTTAAAGATAAATTGGCCTAAGTCAGTAAAATTGGCACAGTATCTTTGTACGTCTTATTTAAAGATTTTTTAAAAGAGAGGGGAATTCAACAGATAATTTAACAGACCTCGAAATTCTTTTCTCGAGGAGTCTTGTGATATACGTCTTCGTATACGCCCCCAAGGTTATTGTATTCCTCTATGGAGGTCGATTCGTCTGGTATGGACTCGCTATCCTCTACTGTAAGAAGTAGGGAGGATGATTCCTCGTGAGCGACACGTAATTCGGCATCGTATTCCTTCCTCTTTTTTTCTGTTTTTTCATCTTTTGCGATAATTTGATGTTCGAGACCTTCGCTTTGATTTTTCCCTGTAATAAACAAGGATTGATCAAAACACAGCTGTAAAGGATTAATAAAAAAAAATGGCTCCAAAATTGCTGTTGGACGTAACCCTAAGTTACAAAAAAAATAATGAATGAACGAACGAATGAATATTTTTCAAAAAAAAACCATCAGGAAGATTGGGTAGGAGATGTTTTGGCTTGTATTTGGGAAATAATTTTTCTGCCAGGGCTTGCTGTTGAATGTCATATTTGATCAAATCCATTTGTTTCGCCTCTCTGGAGGCCCTCTCGCGATATTGACTAAATTGATTTTGTAAAAAAACAAAAAGGTCAATCGGTACAACTCCTTTTTTTTGTTTAAAAAGTTTCTTATTCTTGCAGTAATATATATATATTATTTCTCAGAATTCGTCGACGATATTCGAAAGGCAATAACGAAAAAAAAACAATAAAAAAAAATAAAGGAAGATTGGTGTTTAGGTGGAATTACCATTTGGTCCAAATCGGATCTTCTTCAGAAGATGGGGATAAGGTCATCTTTATGGTCTTATCGCAGAAACCATCTATCAATTTGAGAGTATCGTCGCTAATGTTGAGCAATACCGGAGTATTTGATTCTATCATGGCGCTACAGCTAGTATCTTGCTGCATAGGCAAAGGCAACGTTATCTCCAGTTTACTTAAAATGAGTCAAATAATATTCGTGGATCAAAAATTTCTCTTTTTGTATCATTTTAACATAATTAATATGTATTCCAGAATTCATAAGTCGTGAATAAGATTTAATCAGATCCATTATAAATTATAACTAGTAAAAATAAAAATGGTGTATTTACAATACGCGGATATTTTGGTATAAACCTGTCGATATTGTCGGTGGCGAGTAAAGGAGGCGATCTGTGGCGGGTGTGTGGAGCTTTGAGATAAGGATATGCCCCTTCGCCGCTCTCATTTTGATAGGGCGGCGGGTCGTGAACTCCTCGGTAATATGCTGACAAACGCTGCAGATAGGCATAATCGTAGTCTACCACGCTTTTGGGTTTCAAGGATTTGACCCAATCAGTGTTGGCGATCGAGTAAGCGGAACCTTCGTTAGCGCTAAATTCCTTTTCGGATGAGTGTCGTGTTACTACTGGATCGACAGACGAGTCATGATTATCTGATTTCTTTGGATATTGTGTGTGTTATTTATATTATAGGCTCCTATTTAATCGGTCAGAATTTAAAGGCGAATATTCTCAAGCAATAAAATTCTTAGAGGCCCAGAATAAATACTAAACGCTCAACCGAATACTCAGAATTATTTTAAAATAGTCAAATAAAAAAATTAAATTGCTCAGGACTCAATATACTAGTCACTTAATCGCTAAAAAATATTATTTTCTATTTTACTACTATTGATTTTAAGAATTTGTATATGATTATAAATTTAAAAAAATATCCCCCCCCCTCCCACCCTTTAATCAAGCAGAACTGGTTTAACTAGGTCTTATTTTGAAAACTGAATCTTTTTCTTTTATAAATATATGTAGAATTTAAAATTAAAGAACAGAGTTGATTAAATTTTACTTAAAAAATGTCATACTTTAAAAACTATTTCAAGATGAAATCAAAATTTAAAAAATGTTTAAAATTTTATTTTTTAAGACTTTGAAATATAGTAATGGTTAGATTAAATTAGGATAAAATTAAAAAAGAAATTTTATAACTTTCTATGTTTGTTTGAAATATATGATTATTTTTGCTTCAAAAAATCGTTGTTTCCGGCTTTTTATTTTAAAAATTTATATAAAAAATATCAACATTTATGATTTTTTTAAATCATAATAGAAAACTTTAAACTCATAAAATTTTTCACTGTTCTTTTTTTTCTAGTAGATTTGATATGATTTATAAATGTATCCATCCATACTGCGAAAGAATTAGCTAATAACCCGTCAAGAAAAGGGTTTGAGGGGTAATTAGTTACTTTGTATGGTACTAAATATACTTTATTATATAAAAATATTAAAATTTAGGAGAGAAAATGGTAAATTTGTACATCACATCTCATAAGATATTCTTAATTTCTGATTCTTCTATCATCGAATAAGGGAGAAAGGTACGATGACCCGGATGGGCAAAATGAAAAATATAATAACTAAGAGTAGCAGGGCTCCCAGTCAGCATTGCTGATCGCTCCCCAACGTGTGAAGGTGGGAGATGGGTTTTAGGGGAGCAAAGAGATGAAAAAAAGAATGAATAAAAGAAGGTAAAAATTTAGAAGAAAGAGACAAAGATGTGAAAAAATAATTACAAAAAATATAATATGTTTATACCTTAAGACTTGGTAGTTATCATTTAACACACTAGTATTTAGAGCCATATAAAAAAAGAAAATAATCTAAATTTATAATATTAATTATTTTATGAAAAAGTAGGTAAATCTTTAATGGAAATAAGATATAGAGTATGCTTACTTTAACCTAAAGGTAGGTAATATATGGATGGCATTATAAAATAGAAGTATACAAATATTTTTAGTATATATTTTTTAATTAGAAAGCTTAGGTCCTTGCTAAAGCGTGAACAATCAAAATTTTTGTATTTTTTTTTAAAAGTGCAACGACTTAACAACGTAAAGGTCTCCGTGTGAAAATAAAGGTTCATGAAGATATAACCCTAAATGATCAAAGGCTTGGCCCTGGCTTTTATTTATAGTGATAACAAATGCAGGAAGAATTAGAAATTGGCGGCGTTTTAAAATAAAGGGTAATTTTGATTCACTTGGAGTTAAATCAATGCGAAGAATAAAGACCCTGTAACCTTTATTGGTGCCTGTAATTATTTCGGCGTCCAGAAAATAATTATGCATACTTTTGATTATTAACCGGGTGCCATTACATAAGCCTTTTATGGGATTCATATTGCGGAGAAGAATATTAATTGTACCAACTTTTAATAGCATGTGCGGTGGCATTCCAGAAGGAGTTAGAGAATGTAGAAATTCAAGTGGATAGTTAAGAGAATCATCTGTGTGATCGAAAACCAATGAATCAGAGCTATAGTATTATCTTAAAGGGGATGCAAAGCCATATCTGTCTCCTTTACTGAATCACATAATTTTGGTTATGGAAGATTAAAATTGTTGCAATGTAACCTGTGAGCATTAAGGGTATTAGAAATATGATGCAAAGCTAAAATAATGGCAAGTGACTCAGAATTAGTACGCAAGAAATCGTCAATTAGGTAGGGTTTGAATTTATCCCAAAGAAATTCAGGATTTTGAGGTAGACCGAAAACACATATAAAAGCTAAAGTATTCCTAAATTGAAAAGGCATTTGTAATAAGGATGTCTCCTTAAGACAATGCTCCCACTCTTTATCATCAGAATGTCTTTTGATAGCAGCCTCTTTAAAATATAGCAAAATGTCATCAACAGTACTGAAAAAATCGAAGCATGTTGCTCCAGGAACATGAAGAAGAAGTTCTCCACATTTAGGTAGAAAACATTCTAGATATAATCGATTCATGAACAAGTTTTCTCTCTCTCCAAGTATAATTGACAAAAACATAGTAATAAGGAATATCAATGTAAAGATATTATCTGGTGCAAAAATTGAATTGATAAAGAAAACCAAGCAGTAACTGTATTTTTTCCAAATTGGCTCTTTCGAAAACCTCCCTCTCATCGCCCCGTTAAAAAAAATACAGTTGTTAAAAAGGCATATGGAGAGCTAATCAAATAATGGCATATGAACGATCAAGCATGGGTTCTCTAATAACCGTCACATCACTTTACATGAGCTAACAGGGTGTTAAAATGACTTTTAATTTCATCATATTTAGGTGGGAGAGATGCTTAATTTATATCGATATTTGCACAATCATAACCTTTATACACGTATTAAAAAATATATTTAACAGAAGTGCTTTTAAAGATTGATATGGGCATTATATTTTAAAAGAATAATTTTAAATTGCTAAGCCTATCTGGTATCACTTCACAAACATACTTATATAGAGCCTCAGCGGTATCAATTTTATGCTCTGAACCTATAATAAACAACAAATAGGCATGAGGTAGGCCTCTTTTTCCAAATTCAATTGTATAAACATATGCTAATGTTTTTCCAAATATGTAATTTTTGGTGATATTCGATAAAAATACATCTAATATAATTTTAAAAACTCTAGAAGTTATATCACGAATTATTTAACATTGTTAAGCGTTTTATGATTCATGGCACCTGTGGCTTTCTTAATCCTCGATCACCTTGCATGGATAATGGTATATGTACAAAAAATTTCCTAATGAATTTATAAATGATACAATAACAAATATTAAGGGGTATCCTCTTTATAAAAAAAAGGATGTAGGTTCTATATTAATATCCGGTAAACCTGTTGATAATCGTTTCGTTATTCCATACAATACCTACTTGCTTTTAAAATATAATGTCCATTTCAATGTTTAAAATGCACTTCTGTTAAATATATTTTTAAATACGTGTATAAAGGTTATGATTGTGCAAATATCGATTTAAATTTAGAATCTCTCCCACCTAAATATGATGAAATTAAAGTCATTTAAACACCCGGTATGTTAGCTCATGTAAAGTGATATGGCGGTTATTAGAGATTCCCATGCATGATCGTTCATATGCCATTATTCAATTAGCTCTCCATATGCCTTTAAACAATCTGTCTATTTTTTTTAACGTTGCGATGAGAGGGAGGTTTTCGAAAGAGCCAATTTGGAAAAAAAAACACACTTACTGCTTGGTTTCTCTTAAATCAATTCAATCCTTGCGCCAGACAATATCTATTCATTGATATTCCTTATCAATATGTTTTTATCAATTACCTGGCGAGAGAGAAAAGGTTACCATGAATCTATTATATCTAGAATGTTTTCTACCTAAATGTGAAGAACCTTCTTCATGTTCCTGGAGCAACAAGCTTCGATTTTTTGAAAACTGTTGATGACATTTTGCTAGATACCTTTAAAGAGGCTGCTTCAAAAGACATTTATCATCTGATGATAAAGAGTGGGAGTTGTGTTGAGGAGACATCCTTATTATAAATGCCTTTTAAATTTATGCATACTTTTACTTTTATATGTATTTTCGGTCAACCTCAAAATCCTGAATTTCTTTGGTATAAATTCAAACCTTACCTAATTGAGTATTTCTTGCGTACACTTATTCTGAGTCACTTGCCATTAATTCACGAAATATAAGATATATCATGTACCACTTCTGGAAAAACTTACAATAACAATACTTTAATGCCTTATTTTAGAGGGCAAAATAAAAATGTATTGTCATTTGCTACTACAAGAATTTCATCCATACTACTAATTGGTGGAAAAACAATTCATAGTGGCTTTAAACTTCCTAAACCTATTTTAGACATATCGGTTTCACGTATGAGACCTCTATCTAAACAAGCTAAGGAACTTAAACTTGTCCATTTAATAATTATAGATGAAGTATGATGACAAAGCATGCCTTACGTTGTATATATGTCTTGCTTAGGGAAATATGAATATAAATACACACCTCGGAGGCAAAGTTATTTTATTAGGAGAAGTTTTCGACGATTTTACCTGTTATACCTAGGGCTCCTAAAACATGTATTATCGAATCATGTGTTAAATGTACAAATTTATAGCATATTTTCCACCAAATTCAATTGACCCATAATATGCGCGCTTATTCTGGGGAGGAAAATTATATTAAATGACTTCTACAAATAGGTGAAGGAAATACAACTCTATTACCTTACCCCTTCCTTCCGACTATGTAAAAATTTCCATCTCTATGCTTGAAGATTCTCTAATTTCATCCATATATGGTGATTTCCTTTTACTTAATAATATTGATTATTTATTTAACTGCATAATTCTAACATAAACGATATATCACTAAACTTAAATAACACTATTATATCAAAACTTCCATCCCCTTTAAGACAATACTATGGCTTTGATTCATTGGTTTCCGGTCACAGATGATTCTTTACTATTTACTTAAATTTCTTTATTCCCTAACACCTTCTGGAATGCCACCGCACATACTATCATTAAAAGTTGGCACAATTATTATTTTTCCCCACAATATGAATCCTATAAAAGGCTTATGTAATGACACCCGGTTAATAATCAAAACTATGCATAATTATTTTTTGCATGCTGAAATAAATAAAGGTTACAGGGTCTTTATTTTTCGCATTGATTTAACTCCAAGGGAATCATAATTACCCTTTATTTTAAAACGTCGCCATTTCCAATTCTTCCTTCATTTGTTATCACTATAAATAAAAGCCAAGGCCAAGCCTTCGATCATGTAGGTTATATCTTCATGAACCTGTATTTTCTCACGGACAACTTTACGGTGCCTTAAGTCGTTGCACTTGTAAAAAAAATACAAAAATTTTCCACGCTTTTACAAGGACCTATGCTTGCTAATGAAAAAATATATACTAAAAATATTGTGTATACATATACATACCTTTATTTTATAATACCATCCATATTACCTAAGTAAGCATACTATATCTATATCTTATTTCCATTAAGGATTTACTTACATTTTGATAAAATAATTTATATAATAAATTTTATATTATTTTCTTTTTTTTATATGACTTTAAATATTAGTGTGTTGAATGATAACTATCACTTAAGGGATGAACATGTATTATATTTTTTATAATTATTTTTTCACTGTCTCTTTCTTCCATATATTCACCTTCTTTTATTCATTCTTTTTTACATCTCTTTGCTCCCCTAAAACCCATCTCCCACCTTCACGCGGTGGCGAGAGAACAGCAATGCTGACTAACGGGAGCTCTGCTACTCTTAGTTATTATATTTTTCATTTTTCCCATTAAGAAAGACTGGTCATCATTCTATTTTCCCTTATTCGATTATAAATGAATCAGAAATTAAGAATATCTTATGAGGGGTGATTCACAAATTTACTCCTTTTTTTCCTAAATTTTAAAATTTTTATAAAATATATTCATAAGGTATATTAAGCACTATATACACAAACTAACTAATTAGCCCTCAACCTCGTTCTTGACGGGTTATTAGCTAGTATACATATATAAGACACTAAACTTTTTATAAAAAGATGAAAACATTAATTATTGCATTATAATTTGAATTATTTGCGATAATTAATATAATTGTAAAATTAAAAAAATAATAATTAATTAAAAATCACATTACTTACATAATGATGGAAGGATTGAGTAGGTGGAAGGTGAGGCAGTAACCTGCGAACTGCAGGGGCAACGCGCGGGAAGAAGGCATGAAAATCGGGCTCGTGTTCTTCGGGAGTCAACGAAGTGTCGAATTCGGGAAAATAGTAATCCACTCCACCCCCTTCACTCACGTAATGCGAGTCCACGCGATCGGTCGAAACATCCGTACATCCATCATCCGATGATTGACTTCTACTCCGGTTAACGTAATGTTTCTCTATAGCGACTTGCCTATCTATCTGGGAATGGAGGCTAGACACCGAGGGCATCAAAACTTTGACCCGATTACGACCGAACCTAACACTTTCAGAATCGCGATCTTTAACGTGAGACAAATAATTATCCTGATTACCTAAGGAATCTGAGTCATTTTGCTTACTTAAGATCGCATTTTCTGTAGTATAATAAATTTAATTATATACAGCATTTTAGGTTGTTTTTTAACACTTAACAAAGTAAAAAAACTCAATATTTTGGAAGTCCTTTTCAACCCCGTAAAATCGATAAACTCTACATAAAGGTAAATTAAATAAGAACAAACGGAAAAAGGGGAGAGGGAATTTACTGGAATGAAAGAAAATTTATTAATTTTGATCTTTTTTCCTAATCTATTTTTTTTTAAACTTACGGTGTTCATGCAGAGTTCCGAATCTGAAACTAAAAAAAAAGATTCGAGTTGATAACATTTTTATTAAAAAAACACCGGGTTCCGGTTCTTATAAATTTTTTAAAGAGGGATATCTGGTTCTTCGAAATTTATCCCGGGTTCGAGGGTTCTGGTTGCCATACTCTGTGGTTATCGATTGATCAATATCTAACCCTAATTAAGTCTCATATCGAGCACTACAAAATATACTTTTAATTTTAAAACAAACTTTACCTATAATATCATTATTATTATTGCCGCATTCAGGTGGTAAATCCTTGTTGACATCCATTAAAGTAGTATTTACGCTGAGAGATTCTATATTATTGGCACTATTTTTTTGGCCATTGTGTGTGAGAGGGTCTTGGACGTGTTCCAGCGTATCGGCGACATCTAAGTACAGTGGGTCGAATTGGTTAGAATCGGCGAAAAAATGTTGAGAAGGCATTTCTTGGACGTTATTTTTACCCGATTTTTTGACTACCTTAGATTTAACCCTACCACCTCCTTGTTTGATAATTCCATTCGTTTTCCTGCCAATTCGATTTAATGTTTAGAAAAAAAAAGTTTTTTGTGATGAATAAGTCGTTAACATAAGACCATCCCCTCTAACACAGCGGGTATGTCCGTAAGGATAAGCCTAGAAACTTTTAAATTAAAATGCACATAGGGTGTAGGGAACTCCATAAGATTGTTTGGCGGGTGGGTCCTGAAAATATTGTTATGTATAGACCGATTCGTGGCAGAATTAAAATATCAATCCACCTTTCGATTTATATATCGATTTTGATTGTAAAAATAATATATATGCGATATATAGATTTTTTTTAAGAAACGACGGGTAAAATAGAAAATTACTTTTGATTCTTATTTTTGTTTTTGGGTGGATTTTCTTGATTCAAGTTGACGAATTTGGGAGCGGGCGAAGAGGGGCTTTTTACAGCGCGACCGTTATTATAACTTTTATTGATGGCGCTTGGAGGAGAATCGTTCCAATCAGATTTCGTCATTGTCATCATTTAAAAAATCCCCAACCTCTAAAAGAATGAGTCTATATTCTATTTCGGGATTCCATCATTAATAAGTTCTGAATTCATTTTATTTCGCATATAAGGAAATGAATTAAATAAAATATAAATATTTAAAATGTTAAATTTAAATAAAACTTGTTATTTAATTTTTCTTTTAAATTTCTATTTAAAAAAAAAATTGAGATTGAGCAATGATTGGAAAAGGATGGGTTAATAATGTTCATAATTATAAAATCATCAAAAAAATAATTTCTTCCCTCGAATCTGATACAATTGAAAAAAAATTTTATAATTAAATTTGAAAATCATTTTTATATTTAATAATTTTTTTAAATTAATTAATTTTAAATATATAAAATTGTTTTAATATTTTAATATAAATAATATTTTTAATAATAATTGAAACATTAGAGTTATATCAATAATCAGTAGTTTTAAAAAAAAATTATAAAAAAAAATTTTAATTTTAGTTATGATCTTTTTTAATCATTAAAATAAAATAAAATGTCTTAAAGATAAGGCATATTGAGACAGTTAACAAAATGGAAAGACATCGCTATTTCGATTCGAGTCCAAAGCATACTAAACTCCGGTTATTTCGGGCCGGATCGGAAAATTCGAGCCTCGACAAAACTTTAAAAAAAATATTTTGTTTTCCTAAAATGTTTTCGTATATACATATATATTTATTGTTCCCCTCGAATAACACAAAATTTAATTCTTAATTTTCCCCTTTCGTTGAAGATATCATACTTAGTGTTGTCAAACGGCTCGATTTTAGATTAATATTTTAGCCAAAATAATTTTTCGCAAGCCTCGAAATTTAAAAAAACCCCAATAACGACCGGAGCTATGTATTATCATTACCCCATTATATTATGGTTCGCGAGAGGTAATACTCGCACTATTTCTAAGAGGTCATGATGAAATGGTTTGTGAAATTATTCCGATATCTCAGTATCGGTTCAGGATCTAAAGAGAAATTTTTGTAAAATTTTTAGGTTAACAGTAGAAATCGATAAATAAATTAATATTTGTCTGTAAGACTAAAAAAAAATTATGTTTTGAAAATTCATCATAAAATATGTCTCGGGAGTCAATAAATTTATTTGTAAAATAATTTTAAAAATAAATTTGTAAGGAGTTGGGGAAGAATTTCGCGATATTCCTTGTGGAGGGAAAATAATTTGTAAGAATGTGGAATGTTTGGGGTAAAAGCCAAAAAAAAAAAAAATATAAGTATAAAAATAGGATAATAAATGAGATCAGCGTTAATTCAGCATCAGACCATGAAGATTTCGCGCTTGCGCATTCAGGTCGAAAAACAAAATATTTTCTTATTTCGATCACAAGGTGAGTGCCGGAAATAGAAAAATCAGAATAATTGAGGTGCATCGCGTGACGATATGCGCAAATTAAGCGTGCGTTTTGCCGTACTTTCTAAAAAATTTTTAAAAAAAGGTAACGCAATCCTTGTTTAAATTGAGGCAAGGATAATAATTTTATATTTTATAAAAAAATGGAGTAAATTGAACAAAAAAAAATGGGGACTTGAAATATAAAAAGGTAATTGAAAAGAAAGCCAGCCAGTTTGCATTTTTTTTTAAAAAAAAAAGGCTTCGAGCGCCAAAACGACATGTCCAATTTGTGCGATATCATTTGATTTATATTATTCGCGTTCGCAAACGTGGCGTTTGAAATCCTCAATTTGTGCGTTAATTTTTTGATTACGATTCTCCTTCATAGTGGAGCCATTTTTTTTTTATGAAAAGCGAAACTCTCGATTTCGGGAAATCGAAACTAGTTTAAATTTTAAACCTTCGACCAGACTTGAAAATGTGAATTTTTTAATCTGGGATTGAGCTCTGCAGGCCGGGCTTTTAAAAAAAAATGCAAAAAATAATTTTTTTTTAAATTAAAATTTCGGGTAGAGTAGATTAAAAAAAAAATTCACTTCGAAGTGTTCCAATATAGGCGCGTCCAAACGAACGTAATTTTCGCGGATCTTTGTCCGATATATATTATGACCGAGCCAAACCGATCCGAGGGGGGGGGGAGACCTGAACGAACTCGGCCAACCTTTTATTAATGAATTATTTTAAAAAAATTGATTTATAATTTTAAAAAATGGCGAAATCAATATTTTAGCCAAGACAAATATTACCGAAGCCTTAAAATTTCGAAAGAGGGCCTCTTTCTGCCTTGTTTTAATGAAATCTCGATGAGTTTAGGGAATAACCGTTTTGTATAAAATTCAGATCTCACCTTTTTTTTAATAAAAAACAATCCCTTTTTATAAACAACATTACCTTTTTATTTAGTCCCAAAAATTTCATTTAAAAATTAAAATTATATTTCACATTATTATAATATGAAAAGGTTTTAATTAACCTTTTTTTTTATCGCGACTCTTTCGATACACGCGACAAAAAATATTAAGAGGCGTTAAAATTTCAAGGTCTAATGGATAATTTTTAAAAATAAAATTTTTTATAACTTTTATGACAAAATTTAATGAATTTAAATGCTATAAATTATTATTTTTTTAAAAAATAAATTCATAAATATATATTATATTTATAAAACATAAAACACTTTTCCACAAAATAAAATAGCTCCAAGGTATAACTTATTATACTCATCAAAAAAAAGAAGAGATTAAGGCAAAATTTATAAGGTAAAAAATAAATAAATAATTAACATAAAAATATTATAATATTATAATATTAAGATATCTAACATGCTTCGTGCACGATTACTCTTCTAGAATATTTTTCACCCTTGTTTTTTTATTTTGATATCCGGGATAAAAAAAAACTTGGCTGTTTAAAAAGGACTAGTGCAAAACCTATTTTATGAAATGCTCCCTTTACCCAAATATGGAAAAACTCTAAGGAAAGGGTAGAGTTGGATAGGTCCTTCGGGATGCGGATTTACAAGTATCTTATTTAAAATATCCCAAAAGAGATACAAAAATGTAAACTCTCATATCTTTGGGCCAAATAAGGAGTATCTAGAACTTTTTTTATGAATAGGTGGTTTAGTTATCCCCTTCCGCACAATGAAATATATGAGTCGATGAGAAAGTCAAGAAAAACTTTCATGATAAATAGGGAATTTTTTTTTAAAAAAAAATCCGGGTTTAAAAATAAAACTTTAAAAAAGACGAGCGCTATGGACCTAAAAATATTTATATTTTTTTTTACAAGTTCGATTAATGGGGAGAAAAAAATATGAAGCCGGGCTAAAATTATGATCTCTTGGAGAGCTCTCGTTTTCTATAACATATTAAAGTAACGAATCATAAAATATTAGCTATAAACGACTAACAACAACGCTCTTAAAGTCTTTTGGTGCACGATTATTAATAATTTAAGAAGAGTATAGATTATTCATATTAGCTTCTACTATTCGAACACGAGGAAAACCTCTTCGTCAACGCATCATTTCGATACGTTTCTGAATAGGGATTAAATGTAAAAAAAATACAAACCAGGAAATCGAGACTTTTCCTCGAAAGACAAAATCTCCTGGTGTGTCAATATCAAAGACGGCTTATATTTATTCCCTCCCCCCCCCCTTCCTCTAGGCAGACTTTTGTTATTTGAGGGGGAGGGGGGAGGTAATAATATTCATCAATTTGACTCCAACTATTTATAAGAGAAAATTCAAGATTTAAAAAATTATATAAAATTGACATTTTAAAAGGAAAATATAAAATTAAACTTTAAATGCTTATTATTTTTTTTACATTTTTTACAAAAAAATGGAGTAAAGAAATGGATGGCGGAGACACATACAGAAGCAAAATTTTTATTTTGTTTTTTTAATAAAAAATATATCTTTCACTGACCCTTCCTTATAAATATTATTATATAAGTACTGTAAAAAAATAAAATAAAAATTATATAAAAAAAATCAATAGTAATAAAAATAAAATATATTATATATATTTTATTTTTTTAAAAAATGTGGTGATAATTCATTCGCCTTTCGCTTCGAATATCGATAATTTAAATTTTTATCATTTCCTTTCAAGCTTGACAAAAATATCGTTTTTTTTAATTTTTGCTTATTGCGATAAATATATTTTAATTATGACATGATGTTATTTATATTTCTAAATCTTTATTTATTTTATAAGGGAATTGATGAATGAAAAGATAACTAGGAAAATATAATGGGCTACTAAGTCTACTTTCTCTTACTCTTACTCTTAACAATATATAGCGTTAGCGTCAATATGTTCTTTCCGGCAATGTGTTATTTTTTTTTTCAACTTTAAATCATATTTATGAGAGCGTTTTTCAAAATTTAAGAATCTTATATTATCGGAAATGTATGCCGTCATGTTTGGAATACCTTCCCTATAAATTTCAGACAATTTTTCCATGAACTTTTGAACTTAGTATAATATTTATTATTAAATTTTCCATATATTTTTTATATAAATTATAAATGACTCAAAAGGTTAACATCAAAATTGTCTACAATTCATTAGATAGGTATATTCCAAACATGATAGAATATATAAACCGGGAAAATCAGATTTTTAAATATTAAAAAACGCGCTCAAAAAATGATTTAAACTTATAAAAATAATACATTGCCGGAAAAAACTCGTTGACGCTAACATATATATATATCCGAAACCTGCAGAGGTACCATTTGCACGGTTCGGCCCGAATTTTTTAAAAATAGATTTTATTTATTTTTACTTTTTATAGACAATAATGGCGATTTAAAATATTCGGTTTCGGCCCGGGTATTTTTTTTAAAACAAATATTTTAGGACCGGCTCGGATATATTTCCATTTTAAAAAATTAAAATATTACCCAGTCCCGTGTACCCGGGCCTCCAAGTCTCTGATATATATATATATACAATTATCATATTTTAATATTAAAATCTTCAAAATCTTTGCACATCTATATTAGGTTAATTATTTTAAAATGCTTAAAATGCCAAAACCTTAATATAGAAGTTTGAATGAGATATAAGTTTTAAAATAGGGGTGAGTATGGCCCGCCCAACTACATGCGTTATTTTTTTATTTTTGTTTTTAACTTACTAATCAAGAAGGGTAAATTTATTCTTAAAATATATTATATTTTTTAAATAAATTGGAAGCGTTTACAAATATTTGTGGGATGTTTACAAAACATTGTTAGCTTGTTTCGTTATTAGGCGGTGTCATATAATTTTTAATCGAGTTTTAAGAAAAAGTTATAAAAATTGAATTATATCAAGTAACATGTTGGAAAATCAAAATCATAAAATGAAGGGATCATTCAACATTCATTCCTGACTTGTAATATTTTCAGAAAATTAAAATTCTGGACCTGGCTCAAAAAATTAATACTTGGGGCAGATTAGATGATTTTGTCAAACAGCTCAATTTGAGCTGATTTGTAAAAACGGATTTTGTAAAATAATATATTATTTATAATTTAATATTTAAGGCGTTATATTGTTACTCGATAATTGGTCATTTTATTATGTTTATTTTGAGTTTAAAAGTTAATTGTTTAAAAAAGAAAAAAATATATATAAAAAGGAAATTTTTTATATAATAATTAGATTGAAATCTCTTGAATAATATACTATCATTGTGTCACCATCAATTCTATATCCAAAACCGTTCCCATATATCATATTATTATCGACTCAAACCCCAACGTTAGTGTAAGCCCCCCCCCTTGCAACAGGCTAACTTAATATTTTAAACTGGAAAATATTGCCTGCCTCTAGATTTCGTGAATATATTCCAAACATTTTTATCAACTTGTGTTGTTAAATGACTCGATTTGAGCTGAATTCTATAAACGACTAATTCAATATTTCATCCAGAAAAATATTGTGCAAACCTCGAGACTTTGCTCAGAGATAGCCAAAAGGTTTGGAAATCTATTAGGGGAATCTCGATACTTAAGCAATATTTTCTGGCTGATATTGAGTTAGTCGTTTTTGAAAATCAGCTCAAATTGAGAGGTTTAACAATATTAGTTGCTACAAGGTTAGAAATGGGGAGAAAAAAATCAAATCCAAGCTGGATTATTTAAAAAAATTGACCTCTGCTAGCCTCCAATATTTTTAGGAAATCACGTGATCCACTTAAACAGTGATTGACATTTATAAAGCTAATTTTTTTTGTTGAAACATTAGAATTTTTAATAGGTAAATTATAATACCCCCCCCCCCCACCCACCCACAAAAGCAAAATTTTCTATTTATAATCATCATAGAAGGGAAAAATAAATTATAAATAATTTTGATTTCAAAATTCCTTAGTTAGTACATATCAACTGAAGGTATTAAGTTCTATAAGACATCCCAAATATTTTTGGAATTAGTGTTGTTTTGAGTCAATTTAAACAACTAACTTACTTGATATTTTAGTATTACTTAAGCCTCAAGATTTTGCTAATAAATGTTCACACCTTTATGTCATGATCTATGAGCAAAATCTTATTTTTTTGGCTAAAATATTGATTATAATTTTTCTAGGACTAAAATAAAACAATTAATGATTTTTACATTATTTACCTTTATAAAAATGACTTTAATTTAATAAATAAAAAATCTAGGGCGGTGGCCATGCCTAATTAAGAGTTGGGCCTTCTTGACCAGTTTAAAAAAAACATTTTAAAATACTAGTACAAGTTGGCCCAAAAAACTGAGATGGCAGTATTATATTACAAAAGATAATGTTGATATATTACAATGATACATCAAAAACTTAAGACAAATAAATTTATTATACATATAGCATGATTATTAATTGAAAACTAATTTATCATATTAAAATTCACAATATTATATAACTCTTCATGCTTATAATAGTAATATTGATTTTTGTATAAATAGAAAATAATCTATCATAGCAATACATCTCTTTATAACCATTTTTTAAATTTTAAAGAAAATACAGCACCCTTTCCAAATCAGTATATATAAATATGGAGGAAAAATAAAATAAAAATTTATTCTTATAAGCTAAATGAATTATATTTTTTAAAGATTTTCATAAGGAAAAAATATGAAGCTTACCTAATGTGTGTATAGTTTTGAATAATTTAGTTTTTATACTAATAACTGGCTGCTAATAATATATTTTCAAAAATAGATTTTGATATATTAAATTATAAATTTTAGATTTTAATAATCACATAGACCTAATGGATTGCAAGCAAATATTTTATTAAAATTTTAAAAAAATTTTAAATCTATTGGTAAATCAGATGTTCGACATGATCAATATTAAGCGAAACATCAAATTTGACAGTTGGTTCTCAAGTATTTTTACGTTAAAATGTAAATATTAATTTATATAATAAATAACAAATTTTTTGAATACAGTATAAAAAAATTATTTATTTAATCCGGATAGGAGGCAATAAATGGTTGGAGATACTCATAATTTAGGCAATTTCATTAAATGAATGCATTGCCATATGAAATCCAATGCATAGGAATTACAAGTCATTGTAATAGTGTTGTTAATAATCCACGTTTTTAAAAAACAACCTGACTAAGATTTTAGCCAAAATATAATTATATAGGCCTGGAGATATTGCTAATATAGATGGCAGTTGTGTTTAGATCTCTTTTTGCCAAATCTCGAGGCCTCCATTTTATTATTTTGACTAAAATCTTAATCGGGCCGTTTTTTTAAACGATCCAAATCAGACTTTTAATGATATTATGCATATAGATGGAGTTTGAATAGTTTTTGAGGTGCGTCATTTTCAAAAGAGGGGTTTTAAATTTTTTTTTTTAAAATAAGAATCTATTTATTTTTTGTATTGTAATTAAAATATACTGATTAATATAATAATATATTGCAATAATAAACGATATTGAACTAAGTTTTATTAGATATTTATAATTAAATTGATGTTCTACAAAAGTTATAACATATATTAAAATAAATAATAAAATTTTGTATTACTTTAGGAAAAATAAAATTATATAAATTATTATATTCCCTTTGTGGGCTATATATCTATAAATAACAATATTAATTATATTGCTGGGTAAAGGTAGATATAAAAATGTACATGATAAAATTTGATATAACCAATTTTTAAAATTGGTGACTAATCTCTAAAAATGGGGTGATGCACCCTAAGCATCTAGCTAGTTAATATGTTCAGTTTCTCGTAGCTATTATAACTATTAATTTTAAACTTCGTTTTAATATTTTAACTATGCCTTAAATCTTGCTTTCTTATGAAATTAAAGGGAAAGAAAGGCGAAAGGAAAGGTAAAAGAAAAAGGGATTGGAAAAGTGATCGATAAAGAAAGTGGGAGAAGAAGGTAAAGGAAAAGAAACTTATTTATTATGGCAGTAAAAATTAATAGTTGGTTAATTTTAGTTTATATCAGTGATGTTGATTTATAACAATGGATTATATGTCATTATTTATTATTTTTTTATAAATATAAATGGTTAAAAATTTTAGAGACTTTGGAAGAATTTATAAACTGTAAAATATAATCCATAATATTTAATGTTGGAAGTAAAATAAAAATCTTTAAAACTTAGGTTAAAATATTTTAATATTATATCATATCATTTAGTGTAATATACACATAGCAATATATATATTCTCTAATAATATTGTATAAATTCCAATGTTTTGTAATAAAATATATATATATAAGAACCAAAATTCAATGGTGGCATAGATTTTTAAAGAAATATTATCCCAGATTTATTTAAAATTATAATTTAATAATATTAACACAAACATGTTTAGAGGAAAAAATGCGGACGAGTTGATTGAAGTTAGAATGATATGAAGTAAAAGATGTACTAGAGGTTGTTTAAAATATAAATAAAACCTTATTTTTTGATGGATCTAAATATGGATCATTATACAAATACACACTTGCTTCTACCTCCTTGTCATAACATGTTACCATTATATGTAAAAAATTTAAAAACATCTAACATTATCATACTTTTTTTGGACTGTTAGAAAACTTGATGATGCATTGGATCATGTATAAAATCCAATCTTTCTAAAAATATGTATTTATAAAATATGTAATAACACATCTATAAGGTAATAGGAAAAAAACCTCCGAAAAAAAACCCCATGGAAAAAAACATGGAGAAAAGTCACCGGAAAAAAAACCCATGGAAAAACAATTCAAAAAAAAAGAAAATCGTTATTTTATAAATCTCAATTTATATTTTTCTTCCCATTTTTAGAAGTATTGTTTTTATTTTTCTGATCTTTTCTCAATTTTTTTCTTCTCAATTTTCACTTAAATTTTTTTGTATAACCTAACAATAATTAATATTGATAAATAATTTTATAAGCGAATGCCACAATCATTAACAGCTATTACACTCCAAAAAAAACACAAAATACTTACGAAAAAATATTCGAAGTAATAATGTCTAAATGTCAAGAACGGTATTTATTTCCTGATCCATTATATATATACATGGAATTCGAAAAGTATGTTATGAGCGCGGTTAAAACTGTCATTGGTATGATTATTAATATGTTAAATTATTTCTATTAATTTTTCCAATTACGGGATCACATCATAATCAGAGGGTGCTTTTAACATTTCTGTCAAAGTACCCATAGAAAAATTTAAAAGCTAGGTCTGGAAAGCCAATACAGAACCGATAAAGCACTAAGCTTCTTTTATGGCATAATGGATAGCTTAGCATTTGTTCCTTTATGTGATATGGGCAATGCAATGGCATTCCTTAGATCGTCCGAGCAATGATAAGGATATTCTTGAATATTTCGATAAAAATTACATCAATGGAGTATCAAGGGAAGTCACAAGAAGCAATTCAAATACAATTCCATCCTTAAATACTATATTAACTAGACTAAATTTGACAAAATTTGCAATAAGATCTGTTTATTTTATTGATAAATCATTATTACGTATATACAAATTTAATAATTTACTATAATAATTATATGGATCGACATAGAATATTGAAGGAAATCTCCCTCGATATTTTTATTCCCAGTACCAATTTGAATATGAACATTTTTTTCTTGTTTAAGCATTTTTTATGGAGGGTATATGAGTAATCTGGGTTAAATTATATTTTTATAATATTTTTCTCTAAAATACTAATTTGTCTATAACTTATTAAATCCAAATAAAAATAAAAATATCCGATATTATTAGATCTTAAGTAAATTCGAAAAAAATTTCGGGTTTTTTTTCCTGGGGGTTTTTTCCGGGGTTTTTTTTCCGGGATTCATCTATAAGATATGTATATTTATTCATTATTTATATTTAAAAATAGATAACTTCATATCTCCATGACATTACGTAGTGAGTACATAACGCCACGATGACATGACGTAGCGAGGACATCGGAAAATTATATTATATGTATGCGAAAAAAGGGTCATGAAACTAAGCTGGATACAAGTAGATATGATACAGTAACAATATTCAAGGTAGTTCTTCAATTATATAAATATTTTCATTTTATCCATTTGATTTTTCATAATAGATGCCCTTCAACTTGCAATAATATTAAAAAAAGGGAATCTCAAACTAATCGATTCATTTATTCAACCCAGTCGAAACTAGCATAAAAGTAGAATAATTATTTTATGAAATAGTAATTGTTGTTGATAAAAAATTCGTTGTTTCGCCAATAATATTAAATTTAAGCTATCTAATTACAATTCAATTTTCTTTTATTTTTTTTATTGATTTAGAAGCTTCACAAATATATAATTTATATAATTCTGGTAGCAATAGTGATGATTCAGATAATTCCTCTGAACAAAAAAGCCTTTGATTTTTATAACTAAAATTTGTTTATCAAATTGAAACCTTAACACCCACAGGGAAAGAGATAAAGGCGGAAATCTATGACACTTTAGCTGAAAAGCAAGTTTGTTTTTTTGTTTTATTGATTATTATTAATTAATATTAATTAATATAAATTAATATTTATATTTATATTAAACATTTTATGCTATTTTATGATATATTAGCTTCTCGTAAATTCAATTGAAACAACTATTTTTAAAATAATGTTAATGTTATTAACAATTATTATCATATAAATGATAAACTCAATCAAAAAATTTTTAAGCATCAATGCAAGAGTATATATATTTTTTACAAAATTTAAACCTCGATGGAGGCTAAGGTAACAGTTTCGCTTAAAATTTTGGTGTAGTCATTTTAGAGTAGGCTCAAAAAATGCTGAAATCGATGTCATTTAATACCCTTTATTTATACTATAATAAAGCAGAAGCGGCAAAGATTTATAAAAATTTTTAAGGGAGTTAATTTTTTTCAAAGAAAATTTGATATTTAAAATAAAAATATTAATGGTTGCAATACAATAATATATATATATTAATTAAACATTTCAATGGGTTGTTTTCTTCTCTAACCATTTTTATTGTGTTTTTATTATTTAAAGCTTCTGAGAGGTAACGAGAGAGTTTTTTTGAAAATACCTGTTACTTATGAGAGAAAATTTTATGCTTATTATCTCTTCCAAAATCTCCGGCACAAAAATGAAAAAGAAGGGAAAATTTTTTTTTTGACTATTTATAGTTTTTTTTTAATTTTTATAACAACGATAAAGAAAAAAGAGATTCAAATTTAACATTTTTGAAAAATATTAAAAACTTTTGGAAAGGTGATTCATCCTTTTCTCAAAATATAGAAAGGGGGCTAAAAATAAAATAAAATTAACTAAAGTGCTTAACCTCACCTCCCCCCCCCACCCCCCGTAACCCACTTCACAATACATCCCTGTTGAATATTTTTGGTTTTTGAAGAATTTATAACTAAATATGTTATGAATAATTATCTCATGCTTTTGATAACGCTAGGATTTAAAAAGAAGCTAGTGTTACACGAGTACGGGCTCCTATAGGCATTCTAAGAAAGTTGGAGGTTTGTGAGCATTTTATTTAGGAATGAACTTCCCCAATATGAGTGCTGAATTCTAGATAAACTTCCTGAGAGATAATTGAGGATGTCCACAAATTTGATATTAAAGGGTTTGTAGCAAAAAGAAAATTTTTATTAGAAAAAAAACAAGTGGGATTGCTGTGTTTTTTTAAATTTCAAAAATTTAATCAAATTCCAAGTTCTTCTTCCCAAATATTTACGAAATAGGCTTTCAATC